GAGATTTCAAATGCTTCCTACTAGGGTAACGTATCTGGGGATGTGAGTTAGAAGCTATTTGAATAGCTGCTTCCCCCCTTCAATACTTTGAGCAAGATCAGGCCAGAAAGCCCACCTTCAGATGTCCCTTATAACTGTAGTTAATATATGATCTCTGCATTTCAAATTTCTAAGTAACAGGATTTGAGAATTCATGTACGTATTGATTCTCTTTGTGCTCTTTTGTCAACATGGGAAGAATGGCCTTCTTCTTCTATGAAGCTTTAAAGGTGTCCAGCTAATAAAATGATGGTCGGAAAAATGAGAGTTCTGTGGAATTGTATTTAGAGGGTTACCACATCACAGCAGTTTTCAAACACATGGTTTTGGTCTCTCTCAGACTTTAGGAGTTTACTATTACTGTTTTCTTGGGGGCCTTGGGGATAAATCAGGGGTCTTAGAACATTTTCTATTCTGCCTTTTTTATAGGACTTGATATAAACTGACTTTTGGAGTAAGACCAACCATGTGATATAGAGCATGCTCCTAGCATTAAAATTTGTTTCATACTGGTAAGGCCCTTAAGTAGTAAATACTCTTGGTGGGTTTGAACAGCTAAGCTTGGATAAAGTCATGTTAGATTAAAATGAGCAACTATCTCTTGAGATTTGTAGTACTAAATTTAGTATCAGGCTGTTTACGAATTCTGTTGGTTATTGGTTTAAAGTAATCCTGTAACAAGCTTTGCTAGAGAGTGGTATTGTGGTACAGATGCTCGTGTGAATAAAGCTTTGAAGGTCATATAATTTCAAGCTTTTAGAAACTATATTCAAGTGAAAGGTTGTGTTCTTTTTCAGAACACTGATGCTAGTAATACGGATTCCAGGCTTTTTAGAGTTAACTTTTTCTCCACTGCTCTTGTATTACTTGCCTTTCTGGCTTTCTGTGGCCAGGGTGAAGGGCTGTAAGGTGTAACTTTGCTTGCCAAGTTCATTGGGAATGAGAGGGTGGGGAAAAAAATTTCTTGGTTTTTGTTTTGTTTTGATTTTCCTTGTGAATTGTGTTTGTAAGTAAATATTATCTGCATCTGCAAACATTAATAAATGCCTTGTCTGAAAAATGAAACTTACAGGAACACACGCTTACTCAATACAGCTGTCTTTATTCTTAGAGGGCTTTTCAGTACTTTGCTTTGTGTAATTAGAATGAAGGTTAAGCTTGTCCCAACTTTTATTATGCGGTTTTGCCATGCCTTTCATAGTTGCATATATCTGTAACAAGTTTGTGGGTAATCGTGGTAGTATACTGAGCAGCAGTAGGTTTGGATTTCATACGTAGTAGTGGAGATACCTGTTTATACATGTCCATTGTGCCAAAAAAAGAGGTCTTTTTCTTAGGGAATAGCTGATGCCCTCATAAGCTGTTTGCAATAGCCAAACTTTTCTTGGTTAGTCTTGTGTACTGACACCCCCCATGCTTGCTCTGAGAAAGAAAACAAAAATAATAATTCATCAGTTCTTTTTCATCATCAAATTGTTTTCTTGAAGTTATTCTGATATTATTACACTGGATTGTGAAGAATTTTACTTAATAACAGCTGAAAATCATCTTGTTTGTCAGCACTTTACATTAGACCCAAAATACAGTTGGAGGTGTAGCAGTCTGGTCACTTTGCATATACAGAAGTGACTGGGGGAAGGTATTCTTGATTCACATTTGCTTGCAAGACAGCATTTACCTGAGGAAATAGCTATTCACACGTTCACTTCTTGGCAGCATGGGCACAGAAGGGTAGGATAACCTGTCTTTGTCCTGGGGTAGTGAGAAGGCACTTACTTTCAAAAGTTTCCTTCTAGAGCTGAAAGTAATACCGAATGTTATGGACTGGCTGCCGAGGCTGAGGGCTAAGTTGGAAGAACCTACTAAGTTAAGTGTGCCTTGGAGTAGCTGGGAGTCGTCTGGACATAGTAATAGCTGAGAGGCCAGTGCATTTTGGGTAGGAAAGCAATTTGCTATGGTCACAGGTTGTCAGAAAATGTATTTGTTCTGTTGCTGATTTCAACTCTGTTTTCCTTAGCTTTTTTCCTGTCTGTTTGCAACATACCTGTTCCTCTCCAAACTTTTCTACTTAAAATAATGTTCAGTGGGACTGCTGTTTTGCTAAAGGACGTAAACTTCGTATTTCCTTGTTCCACCTCTCCTCCATGCGGCAACATGGTCTTTGACTATGAAGATGATTACACAATTACAAGGGCTAATTTTTGCAGTAACAGGATGAATTGCTTAAGGTGGAGGCCCTTGAGAAAAAGATTGTATGGGATTTTTGTTCTGCAGTACAGAAAGCAATGTGGGATTTTTGTCTTAATTTATGGGAACAGCAAGAGACCAAAATATGGAAATCTGTCTAATTTTTCAGGATGTAAAACATTGAACAATTTCAGAAACTCCTGAAATTTTCTAGAAAGTAATTGTCTGCAAGTTTTTTTTGTAATCAAAACATATGCTTAAAACAGTCTTAATAAGAATATTTTAACAAGTCTGATAATATAAAATTCTCTATTACTAGAAATACATGTGAGTTTCTCTTAGGAAAAAAGAGCTCCTGCAAAAAATCAAACACTTTGACAAATAAAACTGTGCATGCATAACTATATATACAAGTTTAATACTTGCTAATTCAGTATGTAAAAAAACAAAAATCCTAACAGGGATGATAACATGTGCAATGAGTGATGGGTCACTCGGTTGCACCCAGCAGCTTTGAGTGGGATGTAGTGAGTAATAAGTTGAATATTTTAACCTAATGCTTTTACTTTCCCTATATATAAGATTATTTTATCATGATGGCATCAGTAATGTGACCATTGTTAATGGTGCCAGCTAGTCATATTATGTATCAAGTGCACTGATTTATGTTTAGGTGTCACTTTTGTGCTGCTTTTCTGGGAATTGCATTGTGCATAGTAATTGTGGAGGGTGGAGGTCAGGCTGCCTTGGCAGGGACTGTGTTGTCTTGTCGGAAGAATCTCACCAAAGGAAAGTCTCTGCCTATAAAAGGTACTGAGGAATGCTTCAGCAAATTGGTATCTTTTCCACTCTTACATGTAAACGGATAGCTTTTAAATTGCTTAATTTCATATTTAGTCATAGTGCCAATCATCTCTAATTAAAAACTAGTGTTGGAAGTCTGTCAAGAATCAGCTGTTTGTAATTTGAAAAAGAATCTTGACCAAATTAATAAATGTTGAAGTTACTCATGCATTATGATGATCCAGAGGAGGGCCACAAAACTGATCAGAGAGATGGAGAGCTGTTCTCTCCAGAGAGATGGAGAGCTGTTCTCTCCATCTCTCTCCAATGAGAGAGCTGTTCTCCAGCTTGTTCAGCCTGGAGAAGACTCCAGGGACACCTTATTGCTGCCTTCCAGTATTTAAGGGGCCTATAAGAATGATGGGGAAAGACTTTTTTGCAGGGCCTGTTGTGACAGGACAAGGGGTGATGGTATTAGACTAAAAGAGGGGAGATGCAGGCTGGATGTGGGGAAAAAATTCTTTGCAGTGAAGATGATAAAATACTGGAACAGGTTGCCCAAAGAGATGGTAAGAGGTGGTGGATGCATCATCCCTGGAGACATACAGGGCTAAGCTGGCTGTGGTTCTGGGCCACCTGGTCTAGTTGGAGATGTCTGTGCTCATTGCAGAGGGGTTGGACTAGGTGACCTTTGATGGTCTCTTCCAACCCAAACTGTTCTGCGATTCTATGATTATTACTGAATTTTGCTTTATGAAAGTTTTGTCTATCTTGGGGTTTAGAGATTGTTTTACTGAAAAAAGTTTCTCCAACAGACTTTTACAGTAATGGACATATTACCACCTCTTTTTTTCTTTAAGGCTCTGTAATCACCCATTTTTTTTTTTTTTCAGTATCCTTAATCTAGTGTATGTGCATGCATATATGTGGTGTGCAGTCACAAGTTCTGGAGCCCCAGGACTTGTCTTCTATAAATCTGCTGAATTTGCGTCTCTCTAAGAGCTGGAAACCCACATCCTTTTCCTTCTTTTTAATGTCAGTTTTCTGTGATAACTCTTCCACAATACGTAACAAAGTATTTAGTGTTAACTCCAGGCTTATAATTAATATGTCTTTTCCTGAGATTGTTTAAAAAGGAGTTGAAAAGGTTATTGTATATGCTAACTCCATTACAGGAAACATGGTAGTAATATGCCTATAACAGTCTGCTGATGGATTTCTTTTACTAAGTTGTTGATGCATTGCCTTAATGTGAAAGGTCAAAGAAAACCCAAGATGTTCAAAGTATACATTTTAAATAGTAGTATTTATTAATTTGAGAATGTGCTCCCTAAATTTATTAAAAAATTATAGAATAGAAATCTCCTGCCCCCCCACCTGACCTTCTCTATAAGTTATTTGATATTTTGGCATATGTTTCCAAGTACAAGTTCCTTTTAAGCTCCTAAACTAATACTAAATAGTTTAGTTGAACATCAGGTTTGCTTAGGTGTGTCCTATGCTACTTCAAGAAATACTGGCACTTCATTCAAGCAGAGAGAACTACTTGCAGACTCTAAATAGTGGGTAATTTCTTAATGAAGTTCATAAACCGAACGAGGAGGTTACATTTTGCCATTATAAGGACTATCCTGGTATGAATCCCTTCAAACAAGAGTGGTATATGTGATTTCTCTGCATTGCCCTGATGTTTATCAGGTAATTTCTTTCAGTGTTACAGTTCAAGCTCGTGTTTCTATATTACTAGTTTCACAACTAAATTCTTAAATTGAGCCATGTTTTTATTCTGTTTATCGGGGATGAGTATAGCACCAGTTCCTTGGCACTGGGGAAAGACAGGAAATGATAATACTGGTTCACTAAAGGTAATTTTGCCAAGTGCTTTTGGGTTTCTTGTTTGGCAAACTCCTTGTCTTTTTTGATTAAGACACTGAATTTTGTCAGGACGTGGTTTTTTGTTTAATTGTTTCCCTTTAAACTTTCTTGAAAAGGCCACAGAGCTGTGTATATTGGAGTTCACGTCCCATTTGGAAAGCAGGGCCGTCGACGGCACAGACATCGTGGGCACAGGCATCACAAAAGAAAAAAAGAAAAAGAAACTGATAGAGAGGATGGCAGAGAATCTCCATCATACGGTAAAAAAATCTGTTGTGTCAGTTCTTCATGTCTTTTGAAAGTGATGTTGTAGTAGCTACTCTGTGCTTACATGGTGTCTGGTTTTGCTGTTTCTTTTATTCTCTCTAAAGTTAATGTCCTTCTGGTACAATCAGGCAAGGATTTTATGGTTGTGTTTTATCCAATTCATAAGTTGTTGGACTTGTTCCAGCTGTCTGCATAAATGTTCAGCAGCCTGTACTGATTAGGTTAGACTAGAGCTTCATAATACTTGTCTGTAGCATAAAAATGTGTTTAAATCAGACACCTTTATTCAGATTATGTAGTCTTGTATTATTATTCCTCTGTCACTCAAGATTTTTGAAACTATGCATATAGCTGCAAAGCAGCATTTGCCATAGTAATTTGATCAATAAGCTGTGAAAATATTTCAGTCTTCTTATTGTTCTCTCTGCTAAATTTTAGTTTTAGACACCACCCCCCAGCCACCCCTAATCCTCAAGATATGACAATTTTATCGTATCATTCTCTGAAATCAAATTATTTGTCAGTACTCTTAGTAGTTTTTCTTCAGGAACTCAAATCATCTTTGAATCCTAGAGTGAAGAATGGGAAAGTTATAGTCCCTCAAATGTGGAGGTTCAAATGCAGACACCGTGTTATTCACTGTCACTTTTGTATGACTAGAGCCATGTTCTTCATAGAATAGTTAGGGTTGGAAAAGACCTTAAGATCATCCAGTTCCAACCCCCCTGCCATGGGCAGGGACACCTCCCACTGAACCATATCACCCAAGGCTCTGTCCAACCCAACCTGAACACTGCCAGGGGTGGAGCATTCACAACTTCCTTGGGCAACCCATTCCAGTGCCTCACCACCCTTACAGTAAAGAACTTCCTCCTTATATCCAACCTAAACTTCCCCTGTTTAAGTTTTAACCCATTACCCCTTGTCCTGTCACTACAGTCCCTAATGAAGAGTCTCTCCCCAGCATCCCCATAGGCCCCCTTCAGATACTGGAAGGCTGCTATGAGGTCTCCACGCAGCCTTCTCTTCTCCAGGCTGAACAGCCCCAACTTTCTCAGCCTATCTTCATATGGGAGGTGCTCCAACCCCCTGATCATCCTTGTGGGCCTCCTCTGGACTTGTTCCAACAGATCCATGTCCTTTTTATGTTGAGGACACCAGAACTGCACACAATACTCCAGGTGAGGTCTTACGACAGCAGAGTAGAGGGGCAGGATCACCTCCTTCGACCTGCTGGTCACACTCCTTTAGATGCAGCCCAGGATACGGGTGGCTTTCTGGACTGCGAGTGCACACTGCTGGCTCATGTTAAGTTTCTCATTGACCAACATCCCCAAGTCGTCTGCAGGGCATGGGATCAGTTTGCCTGAAACTAAGGAGTTTTCAGACCCGAATGCTTTGACAAGTCTGCTTTCACCATTCTTCTTTAGTTCTTTTTGGGTTTTTTTTGTCCATCTTCAAAACTTCCCTCCCAAATACAAATTGTTATCATTTGATCTTATGTTTGTAGAAACAATCAGCTGTAGATCTTAATTGATAATGAATGTTGTTTGTATTGAACTCATTTCAGAATTGAATCTCTGCCCTTTAGTTAGAGTCTACAGCACAGTGGTATCATTTATTCTGTTCTCAAAGTGAAAACAAGGTTTCTAGTGCTTCAGTATATTAAATTTTTCACTTTTAACCAATTTTGCTGTTGATGTTTATTTTCATATTATTAATCTATAGAAGGTGTAAAAGTACTTATGTTACATAAACATAATTTTCCAGATGTTTTCAGAAACAATGAAAATTTTTAAAAGGGTTTCCTTTTAAAGAGATATCCACAATTCTTTTATTCCTATTCCATCTTGAAGAAATATCACACTACATATTTCTAACTGAGAGCAGGAGATTTAACTGTTAAATGGTGTTTCTTGCATAATAGAAGTATGACTTCATTTAATTATTCAGTTTCTCCTTTTCTTTAAGACACGCCATCCCAACGAGTGCAGTTTATCTTGGGTACTGAAGATGATGATGAACACATTCCCCATGATCTCTTCACTGAAATGGATGAACTTTGCTTCAGGGATGGAGAAGAATATGAATGGAAAGAAACTGCTAGGTATGCTAAATGTTGATTGTTTCAAAGTATATCTATCTTTGCCTGGTTTTTATTTAAAGAGCTGCAAACTAGGTCTAGGTTAGAACTATAAGAGTTGTTGTCTCGATTCACGCTTAGCAAAACAAAACTATCATTCTTGTTCTCCAACTCTGGAAGGAGTATGGGTTCAGTATGGTTTCCCAAGAGACCCTCAGTCTTATGGGTGCGGTGTTGACTTTCCTGAAACTGATCATGCCAAGCACTGTGAAAGGTAAAATTGTGTTTAGGTATAAATACAGGTATTCAGCCATGGAGCACAGTATCTGCAGTCTCAGAAAGCTATTTGCTCTATTATTGCTGATATATTAGAATTGGGTATTTCCATACATTCTTGGGTAGTATTTGATTATTTTTTGTATGAACATTACAGCCACAATTACTTTTTGCTTCTATTGGTCAAGTAGCTTCCTTCTACATACATGTTTTAGTAAGTTCTTCTGCATTCAGTACTTCTCATTACTGTATTGCATGTTGACTTTTGCAGTTCAATCTATATAGTGCCTGAGAGTCAGGATCAGTATCAATTTACAGTTACACATATTAGTATTACCTAGCTCTTCAGTGCCTGACATAGCACCCTTGGAGGCTTAAACATGGTATTGTGTTGTTTCAGACAGCTTTCCTAAAATACCAAAGAAATTGAGATATGGAAGTCAAGTATTAAGGCACAAACCCACACTGTTCACAGGAACTTGTGAATAAACAGGTATTGTTCAAACCAAAAGAAACAAAATGGGCAAAATGTGAAACAGTGTGATTAAAAAGTCCGATAAGATACTGTGGCTGTCAGTCATTTGGGATGTCTTAAAATATGAAAGCTGGTAGGAGCTGATGGGATTTTCTGTTCCTTGTCATATGGAGCCACAGGGAAGAATGGGATTGATTGCCAAATTTTGTGTCTTCCAGGAGAAATACAAATATGTGTATGTGTTTCAGGTGGCTGAAATTTGAAGAGGATGTTGAAGATGGTGGTGATCGATGGAGCAAACCTTATGTAGCAACTCTGTCTCTGCACAGTCTCTTTGAACTGCGAAGCTGTATTCTTAATGGGACGGTCATGTTGGACATGAGAGCAAGCACATTAGATGAGATAGCAGGTTGAAGCAACACTTCTTACAACTTATTTTATTCCTAAATTTTAATCTATAACTGGATATGTTTTTATAGTGTCTTTATATGTTCTTGAAAATCCTGTATTGAAGAAACAGGTATATGCATGCTTACTGCAGTTTTCTTCATCTGGTCCTACAAATTTTACTCACGAGGAACTACACTGCATGAGTAGGACCTCCTTTATTACATATTTTGGAATGAGGCCCAGAATTTCTCTGTATGTTCTACTTCCTGCATGTGTTTTTTGTCTTTGTTTCTACAGATGAAATGTAAACGTCTGCTAGAGTATTTTAGGACTTATTTGAACACTTTAGTGCCAAAATTATTGATCATAATTTGGGTGATGTTAACTTGATGCCATTAGTGCAGTTGACTGTTTCACATCTGGGTTTTATTTGGTTTTCCACCTTTTTAAGAGGTAGCCGAAATGAATTTTGTATGTGTTGTTTGATCTACTATGTTGGGTGTCCTCACTAATCATTACATGGTCATTTTGGATATTAGAAAATCAGATTTGAAGACTTTTTAATACAAATAAAAATATATAAATATAAAATTGATACAGATACAAATATAATCTGCTTAGCTTGTGGATGTTTAAACTGGTTTTTCATAATTTGCATGGTATCTTTTGTTGTAGGTACTACACAGTGGAATGCCTTCTTGGGAATCACACTAGGCTTAGGGCTGACCAACATGTATGTGAAGGATAGGGTGTTTTGGCATTAAAAACTCTGGCAGTGCTTGAAATGTTTTCTTGTTTTATCTTGAAGTCTTTGAAATTCACTCAGGATATTTATATTCCCTTCCTATTTTCCTGACTTTAGTGAGCAAGAGTGTTCAGTACGTGCTTTTTAAAAGTAATGATTTGGTTTATAATTTACTTTTAATACATTGCTTAAATTAATAAAAATGACAACAAAAAAGGGAGCTGTAAAGTCATCCAAACATGCAGGCTTTCTTTCCTACTGTGAGCATATTGCTTTCCCTTCTGAAACCTGATGTTGTTTGACAGCTGAGTAGTTAGTTTTAGATGATGTTAGTAGCTTTTGTCTCGCACTACTTCTAAAGCATGTGAATCCCATGATATTTGGTAGAGAGCTCCAAGAACGTAATGCATCTGAAGATGATGGAGGAGTTAGGCAGTTCATCTCATTCTTTAATAACTTTCACTTTTATATAGTTGTATACTTTCAAAATAGGGAACACCAGGTTAGGACCATCTTAAGTATGTTCTTCATTGTGTTTGTTTCTCTGTGTGTTCATTTTCTAGTGAAGGGTTGTTTAATACACAGATGTGTTTTTTGGAAAAGGAATCACTGTTAAAAGTTGAAGTAAATGACAGTGGATTATAAAATAAGTAACTTACTTCTTAAAATGATGCTACTAGCAAATTTTGTCTTGGATCTGCATGTTGTGCTTTCCTTAACCTCACATTTGCTTGTTTAGTGAAATCTGAAAATTTCCTGTGGATTCTTGAAGATGACTTTGCTAAAGAAAATATTTTTTAAATAGATTGCTTTTAAAAAAAAATAATTAATTATTATTTGATGGACTGCACTGCTTGAATGTAGTGGAGAAGTGATTTGATAGCAATGTATATAATTTTTGTTGTTATTATGCAGATATGGTTTTGGACAACATGATTGCTTCTGGCCAGCTGGATGAATCCATACGGGAAAACGTGAGACAGGCTCTTCTGAAGAGGCACCATCATCAGAATGAGAAAAAGTTCAGCAATCGGATTCCCCTGGTTCGGTCTTTTGCAGATATAGGCAAGAAACATTCTGACCCTCACTTGCTTGAAAGAAATGGTGAGAGAAGTTGTAGCATCCAGTTTGTTCTAACATGTTAAATAGTGTTCTCAATGGGAGATGAAGGAAAACTCAGCTGGTAATAGCAGATAAGTGTTTCCTTCTTGATAAGCAAAGAACTAATGACAACAGTGTGTGCTGTATGTAGCTGTGCTTGATGTTTCCATGTATTTTTTACTTTACTCAAACACTCTATTCCTGCCTGCGTACATAGCATGCATTAGTGTTTTGAAGTATAGAAATAGACCTGCATTGGTCCTAACGTTTTTTTAGGATATGCTTAAATAAAATGTGTAATGTTTGAGGTATTTCAGCATCGTGGCATAGCTTTATGTTTATCAGATGGATCCTGCTTGCTTATTCAGTCTTTATACTAGGGATTTGTTGTTGTGTCATGAGTTCAGTGATACTGACAGTTACTGTGTTTTAATCCAGTGTTAATATGACTAGAGAAAGTTCACTGTGCTAATGGTGGAGAAACTACTTTTAGCTGGAACACTGTTTTTTACCGTGTATTCTAGAGAGGGTTTAATGGGGAAGGAAGGAATCTAAAACCTAAGAAGCTATTAGCAACCTTTTTTATAGGCTGTACCACGTCTTTTATTCAACCAGTTCCTGAAAATGTGCTGGAATATTAAAATATTTACTCTAGATATCCAGTTGCAAGGTCCAAGTAACATTATATACTGCAGAAAAGCATACTTTATTCTTGTATTTCTTATGGCTGCTATTTCTGTTTCTGTCCTTAGTTTTCTTTCTGCTGTGCATTGACATGCATACTATTTCAATGGAAATTTTTTAGTCTAGTGAAAACTTAGTACAGATTTCATGAATCACTCCTTGAAGTGAGATTCCTGTCTTGAAAGATGGCTAACTGCTTACATGTTCCACTTAGCTAAGTGCTTGTTGGGAGGGACTTCTCAGTTTGGTACCTAGTTGGAGCATGCTGCAGGAAAAGTCCCAGCTTGTTGATACTTTGTTAGCTAGTGCATGTATGATGCATGCATAAATACTTCCAGGATAGTTTTAAGTTATTTTTTCTAGAATGAAAATACAACTAATTTATATAAGAACATAGTTCCTTCTATTACTTCCGACTTCCTGTTTTCTTCAGCAAACGAAAATTTCACACAGAAACTTGGTTTTACCTATCCTTGAATACCTGTATCCCCAATTGTAATGCTCAGAATTTTGTATTCAAGGTCTGTTGCTTGTCAGCTCCTTTTCATGTGTCACTTCCATTTTCCAGTATATTTTATTCCTAATACTGTTCCCACAACAGAATATAGGGCAGATGCTCAAATAAGAAACCAGTGTAACATGATTAATTCTTTGCCAGCACGTACCAGTTTACTTTTTCTTTATAATGCTATGGTTACCCTCTAATAAACTGGTAAACCAAACCAGTTTGGTTTGCATATGTGCATAATACCTTTTAGGGCCCTTATTACACCTGTGTGTTAAGATATCTCATTTTCATGATTCATCACAGATAAACTGGCAGAAATCTAGTTATTAATGGAGTGATTAATACGGATAAAATCAGCCAGTTTGCTCTAGTGGTCCTTTTGTCTTTTCTGTGCTGCTGTTTTAATAGTTGATCTTTGAGGGTTGGGTTTTTTTTTTGTTGTTGTTTTGTTTTGTTTTGTTTTTTAATTTAAATCAAGTTTATATCTGTAGGATCCACTCTTCCATTGTTGGAGGGGGGGGAAATGTATGTGACTTTTACCTAGGCATACTTTCCATGCCTCTTCCTTGTAAATTATTGTAGGATAGTTCAATGTATCAGTCTCTGTAGTGCCTAATATAGATGTGAGACTACATGTGTCTAGTTTGCTGTTTGATGGTGTGGTATGTGAAAACAGCATGTTTTTGATTTCAGGGATTGTAGGAGAAGTAATCAGTACTCTTCTTGAGGAGCCTGCCATCCCAGGAAAAGTATTTGTGGTTTTGTGAGAGGAATGGTATCGCTAAACCTTCTAATGGAAGTACTGATATGAGGATAAACATTCTTTTCCTGTTTAATGAAGAACTGAAATCCATTGCAAACTTAAATCTGAGGGCAACATGACAAGACTATGTTCTCTTTATATGAAATTAGTGGGACAGTGAAAGTGGATAGGGCAAGAAAAGTAACAGTGAATTTTGGATCATGATTTTATGCAGTTTGGGAACTTGGGTAAGTCACAGCAAGAAGAAATGCAGAAGGGATAATGCATTTCCTCATGCCCTCTTCAAAAATATTTATTGAGACTACAGTTGACTAGAAAACTTCTTATTAAACCCAGACTTTTCTTGGAAGACATTTGCGTTTAACATGATTTAGATATGTTTGATCATGTTCATTTTGAAATATTTCAATTTTAAAATTAAGTCTTTGTATATAATGGGTACAGTTAACTGAAGTCTTGTAATGTTTTGACCGCAAATGTTTTTTTTAAATGTAGTTTTTGGATGGCATTAAATGTAGCTGCTGTGCAATGTGGAATAAGAAATCCCTCCAGGAAAATTTAAGAGTCAGTTTTAAGAGATACAGTTTTTTTTGGGTTTGTTTTTTTGTTATATTAACAAATGATGCTGACTTTTAAGATAATATCTTCTCCCACATATCTTTGCCGTTCTAATTAGTACTTATTAGTAATTCCTGACTTTCCAGTTGTGTGAAATCAGATTTGTCTTACTTGCATGAGTATGGCACTTTTTGCCCATAAACCCTGCAATTTACTATGTAAATTGTTAATGCATATTTGTGTCGTGTGTTGTTTTCTAGTGTAGCCCTGTTCTAAGCCTCATGGTGTTTCATTTGTTTTATCCTGGGGGAAGGCCTTTCAGCCTCCCGCCACTCTTTGCGAACAGGTCTCTCTGCCTCAAATATTTCCCTGAGAGGAGAAAACCGTTTGTCAGTTCTTCTCAATTACCTTCTTCCTTCTTCGAGAGCTGGAACCCCGTCAGCCTCAAGGTGTACAACCCCTATAACTACCCCTCAAAACACACCACCCTCCAGTCCAACCTGCAGCCACCTGCCAACCACAAGTGCCCAGCCAAGTCCACCGCAGGGCAAGGAATTGCTGGTGTCACCTGCCAGTGATGATATTCCTTCAGTAGTAATCCACCCACCTGAGGAGGACTTAGAAGTGCAGGAAAGCCATGAAAAGAAGACAAAGGAAAATACTGACAAAACACCAGGCAACTATTACAATTTAAGCTGTCCGTGTGTGATGCTGTCTGCATCTGGATCACTTGCATTGTGATGTTTTTGGCACATAACTTTGGCACAAAGGAACACGTGATAACTGTTACTTTTGCCTGCATGTTTTATTTATTCTCAGTTGTGACTATTTTTTTGTTTGGCATTTTTAACATTTTAGCTTTTAACAAAAGCCAGCAAAAAAAGAAGGATGTTTAATTAACCTTCATTTGTCTAATTTAAAAAGGAATAATGTTTTTAAAATGTAACATATAAGCAAAATGTCAAAAATGGTGGCCTTTTCCTTTCACTCACCTACAGTCTGGGTCAGGTTTTGCTTTGCTGGGTTTTTTTGTCAGTGGTTGAGCTAGTATTTTGAACCAGTGTTTGATATCCTGAGATAGCTACAGCTGAAGATGTAGTGAAGTATTAGAGATGAATATGAAAAGCATTAGGGAAGGTAAAATTACCAGTAATGTTCCTAGCTTACTTGTATCATGAAGTCTTTAAGCAGTTTTCTTTTTGCTTTTGTTCTTTTAAAAACAAGGGCCATTAAAAACAGTGGCAGTTTACAATGAAACTGGCAGGTTCAGTTCATCTAAAACTGTTTTCAGATAGTTTTACATTAGTGCTCTGCTTCAGTATCTGGCACTTGATCATTATTTTGTTGTGTTAGATATGCAAAATAGGGTAAGGTAGGTAAAAGTTTATAATTCTAGGTTTGTAGATCAGAGCTCAGCAGTTTATTAATTTTTTGCCTTGCAAAGCTATTGTTCTTTGCATCTTAAAAGGTATGTGGATGTATAGGTAAGTTGAAAGAAAGGATGGATAGTTCTGACAGCTTCTTAAGTAGTTTTTAGTAAATATTTAATAACTTGTACATTCTGCATGCATACTGCTATGCTTGCTTTACTTTTGCAAAATTATCACCTATTTGGAGACTTCAGGATTCTTCTAGATAGATAATGGTTTTAAGATCATTTCTTTTAGCCTTTAAGCTCCTCCTGGGGTGAGGAGGGCTAGGGTGTGGGGTGTTTTTCTTGGTTTCCTTCCTCACTTATTTAACAATTAAGAGCACACTGTTACATCTAGCAGTGAAAATACGCTGACAGAGAAAAGGTTGTGGTTATCGCTCTTCACATTTTGCAACTGAATCACTGAGAAGGAAAGAGCAAGCTAAGTTGTAGGCTGTCATACTGACTTGGAGGAGGGGTGTATCTTTACTTAAATTCAGAAAAACAAACAGAAGGCTCTTTCTCTCACTTCTTTATGGGACAAGACAAGAATTAAGATTGTTCTCTCTCATGGGTGATCTTTCAAAGGTAATAAAAAACCAGAACTAAACCAGCTGTAATCACTCATCCAGTTCTTACTTTTCTACTCATCTGACAGGAATTACAGCATGCCAGACCCAAGGTCTTTAGAGCCCAAGAGAAGGCAAACAAATGAAGATCAAGTACTTGATGCCCTAACATACCACTAATAGAGCTTTTTGATACCACTAATATACCACCAATAGAGCTTATTGATACCACTAATAGAGCTTTCCACCAGAATCTCCAAGTCATGTCAAATTGCTTTTGTGCCTTTATGTTTCTCATAAAGGAAGAATCTGAAGGGATGATCTCCCAGTTAATCCATAAATGAAAGTCTTCCCAGGGAAGAATGAACACCAGTAATGATGAAAGACGTTTTTGTTTTCTGAGAGGTTCCCCCCCCCCCCTTTTTAATTCAAGAAGTCATCTGAACACAGAGACACATTTTCTGTAGACTTGCCTTTGAAGACATTCTCAGACTATGACTTTGGGGCTGCAATTGGACTAATCTCTTGGTTATTACTTCCTGGCCCTGCTGGCTGCCTATTTCTGATACAGACCAGGATGCTGTTGGCCTTCTTGGCTGCCTGGACACAAGCTGGCTCATGTTCAGCCAGCCTTCAGTCAGCACACCCAGGTCCTTTTCTGCCAGGCAGTTTTCCAGCCACTCTTCCCCAAGCCATTGGTCCATTCCACTATAAGTTGTGGTTTGTATTCCCTCTCTAGTAATTCAGAGCATTGCAATCTGAATACCTTTTCCACATCTGTATAATTGAGTTTGCCTCCTGTGAGCATTAGGAATTGTGTTAATTTTTTAATAGGTGGTCTTCTTCTGCGTTAACATTCATCTGTCTTTGACCTTGTGGTATTGAGACTTTATTTTTGGTCTTTATAAATAGATGGAAGGTTACTGAACTTAATGTGAATTACTGTAAAAGGAGGGAAGGGGGGGGGATACCTTCAGTCTACTGCTTTTCATCAACCAGTCATCAGTTCAGAACAGGTCCACCAGGCAAAGAGTTCTCTTAATGATATAGTTCTTCTTTTGTCATCAGTTGAAGAACAGCTTTTGTTTTCCCATCTTTGAGACTGTTGATAATGAATTCCATAGGTAGAGCTAGGAAGGGAGAGAGCTGTGTCACAGCTAAAGGTGAACACTCTTAATTCACCAGTATCATTAAGCTTTCTTAATGTCTGTGAACAACGGCAAAGTGTCCCGTTTTAAGAAGTCTTTTGGTTCATTGATGGATGTACGTTAAAACTGAGTAAGATAGTATTTTAGAACAGCTTTGCTTTTACAATAATAACGTACTGGAAATAGTAATTTAGAAAGATGTACATATTTGCCTTCTAAGAGCAATTTTAATATTTTCCCATTGAGACTCATTGGAATTTATTTTTAAAAATTGATTTTTATTTCTTTAAATACAAATATAGTGTGAGTTTGTATTTGCAAGTTTTGTTTCATACACTTTGCCTATGTAAACACAATTATGTTGGAATAATCCTGCTTAGGTGTTGAACTGCTCTTATTTCCCTGATGTATTTATTTTTACCTGAAGTTGAGGTGTGTGGCAAATGTCTGTATTATTCCTGCTTCCTTTTTCCAGCAGATAATGTCCATTACATTTTTATGATCACAGGAGTAAACTAAGTGTAGTTGGCTAAAGAAATGCATATGACCATTAGTGAAGGTGCAGTTTTCAGTACTTTAACTTGAGTGATCTTAGGGTGTTTTAATCCAAACTTTTCAAGACTCAATCAACTGTTGTCTTTCTAAGGAGACAGGTGGTGTATCTGCCCAGCTAACGATGTCAAGAAGAGAACTATGTATTTTTAAAGATCCCACTGGTGGCTTTGGGAAAACGAGATGAATTTCTCTGTCTTTGGTCTAGAAAAATTACTAGGTAAACTTCCTTTCAGCAGTAGCCTTTGAGTTTGTATCTACTGAACTGGAAAGGAGAAAGAAAGACGTTCTGTTAGTGAGAGATTTCAGAATTATTTCACAATTAGAAGTGATAATATCAGACTGATATACATAATAAAACAGTATTATATGGAAAGGCTTGATCAGGTCTGAAAACTTATTAGTATTCTCATGTGAGCAGAGCAGTCTGTCCAACTGCAAGACTAGCAGAAGTAAAGCTTTTTACATGTGGTTTAGAATCAGACAGATGTTCCTGTATTGGTGCCAAAACTTGTGAATCTTGAATGTGACTGATTGGAGAAATTTTGAAGGCAAACTTTTAGAAGAATTGGTATTGCAGAAATAGATTAGTTTATGCTAATGCATAGAGTCCTTATTTTTTATTCTCCTCTTTGGTTGTTTCTTCGCGTTTTGTTCTAGTCTATGCTTGCTCTTGCTCACAGAGCATTTGTGTAAAGGGCAAAATGATGCATTATTGTTCATCTTTCATCAGTTACCTTTATTGTTATGTGGGGGGAAGTGAAAGAAGTTTGTGTGTATCCACTTTCATACTATGCTCTTCTGCAACAACTGCTTAGTATTTCTGTTCTATTTCTGGTCCTACAAATAACATCTTAACATCAACTCTTACGCACTTAAACGACTGAACAGCTGATTTTGCAGGTGGTTGATTGCTGTTAGTCATTCTTGTGTATAACATATACATCTTGGAGCAGAAGGGTAGAATTGTGACTGCTTTGTTTTGTTTTCCCTAGCTTACCTAATGTTGTATTTCTAGTGTTAGCTAATTACTTGTGCATGTTAGGATTCACAAACGAAATTGCAGCTTACTAACTTCATTTGGTTTTTGCTTCAGGAAAAGCTACCCACACCACTTACATCCCTATGAACTGTAAGAATGAAAATTAATGGTAAAGGCTTGGGCCTGCATGTTTCTTTGATATGATGGCTCTTTGAATGAGGGTGTTTTGGGGTTTTTTTGTTTTTTGGGGGGAGTGTTTGTTTTTCTTTTTAGCTAAATTCGGGGATCAAATAAAGTTAATTCGGTTATCATTTGAAATGCTAAAAAAGTCAAATTACTAAATTATAAACACAGACGGATGCAATTAGTTATGCAGTAGTACTTAAGATGGAACAATAGCCAACAGGTAGCCAAGTGAGGACTTCAGTTTTATCTTGACTTGAGTGATGCTTGGCCTAAATACAAACTTTCTGCATGTAATACAATGTCGAGACTTTTACTCTGTCCAGTGTGGTTTTGAAAGCATGTTGAAGCATGATTTTATCACCATATCTGAAAGGTCTAGTGTAGACAAGCAAGGCCAAATGCACTTCTAGTGCATGTTAAACCGAACAAGTAAAAGCTCTGTAGTGCAAAAGATGGGATTTGGGCTTGGTTATGCATGCCTAGACAAGCTTTTAAATGGTAGTTGGGAAGGGATAGCCATGGGACAATATGGTATTCAGGTGTACAAACACCTGGGTTACTTGCCTTTTGCACCCCTAATGAGCCGGGAATTCACTGTTGCTAGTAGCATGGCAAGCTGCATAAAACAGTTTTGTCTTGAAGCAGGTGTCAGAAGGAAGCTGTATGTTTAATGGCTTCATTTGCACGTGCCTCTTCAGCTAATGTGTTAAGAGGCACCATTTCATATAGTAACATCTGGTCAGGTCAATACTTGGAGCTTTGGTCTGTAGATGGGAATCGTGGTTTGCAAGCTGTCTCCTTCATGTAGTACGCAATTTATTTGTGCAAGTTAGTTAACTACCAGGGTATTGTTCCTTGTAGTTGTAATCTGGCTTGCCAAGGCTTTTACATTTGAAATAACTGCTATAGAGAAGACTAGGGAGCAGAGGTGTTGCTTTTTGTGTTTGAGGACTTCTAAATATAGCAAAGGTGCTGTCTGCTACTTACTAGAGCAGTTACGATTAAAATGTCAAAAGTTGTTATTTTTTCTGCACTTAAAGTAGCTCTTATTTACTGGTGACTGTTCTGCAAATGGCCATCATTTGGGCAATACTTATGTTTTTTAATGATGTCGTTATTTTGACAACACAGTGACTTGTTAATGTTGCATTTATGATACTAATGTAGGGCACCCTTACTGAATAATTTGCACATTTGCTTTAAGCAAGCTGCCACATTGAGTGTTGGTAGTGTCGCATACTTGGTTCACTTCATACACCATTTTGAACTTACCCCTTTTGTTTTGATTCAGGGCTGTTAGCATCTCCACAATCAGCACCTGGATATTTAGACACTGGGAAAACTGGAGAGGTTAAAGGTACCGGGGCAGGAGGAAGCAGAGAAAATAGCACAGTTGATTTTAGTAAGGTAAGTAATCTTAATGTTTAGCAGAATATAACTATGTAACAAAAAATGTGATTGTAACTTCCCTCTTATTTACAACTAAGAAACATATAGGTACACGTATATACTCCACAAGACGTGTACTTAGCTGTAACTTGTATGTACAAGTGCCACAATACGGTGTAGGCTAAATGCATCAAACGTATTTGAAAGCCCTCCCAGTGGGACTGAACTTCGTTTCCTTTGATCTTTTCATTATTATGGTAACTTCAAGAGTGCAGTTGCTGTACTTTCTCATGCAGAGGGAGGTATTTTCAGATTTGCTATAAAGACTCTTATAAAAACAATATTATAGATCGTGTTGTAACATTTTCCCTAGGACAGACTTTCTGGGGTTTTTTTGTAAAGAGGGCTTTGAAAGGAAATTTGTTTTGTATGTTTTATGAATTTGCTATAGAAAGTTATTATTGTGTATCTTAATCATTAGGAGCATACAGTACAACTTTCTGAAGGAAATCTTGTGTCATACTGTAAATCCTTTGTCTTTCTTTCATAATTTAAATTTTCTGGACAAGTTCCTTCTATGAAACACTAAGAAAATTGGTCAATTATGCTTAAGGAAAGCTAACTTACACAGTAGTTCAGATCTAATCATGGCAGGGGCCATATATTCCTGTCACAGTTTGTATTTTTGCTTGGCGTGGCCTTCTGTACACCTGCCTTGTCTCCTGTTGGGCAGGAGTCAGCCTCCTGGCACTGTAGTTGTGGCACACTTGGTGTGGGACTCAAGAGGCCACTCGTAAGTGCCTTAGATAGCCGTGTAACTTGTGCTTGTGTTTGTGTGAGAGTTCATGTGCTGTACTGTTTTCTAATGCTCTTCTGTAGTTATAGAAATGAATGTCAGTATTTTCAGCCATCATATTTTTCATGGATGAAAACAAACATACAAATTATGTTTCAAAATTATGACCTATTTGAAATATACAGCTGTGAAACAACTACTTGCATTCTAGAAACTGTGTAATTACATGAACTCTCCTTAGTTAATTTTGTGCGTAGATTTTATTATGTCCTATCACAGAATGTTTGTTATGATAAGCAATATTAGAAAGGTGGTTTTGCAGTTTGGAGTCTTCTAGAATATGGTAGGTAGCAGTAATTCTAAATTCTAGAGAATAGTTTATTAGTTAGCTGCCTGACATTTTCTGCATATGTTTGTCTTTTCTGTACTGTGGGGTATATAATTTGCCTTTGTAGCATAGATGTCTAGTAAAGACTGATAAACTTACGTAAGGGAATAAACACTTGTTTCATCTTTGTATGAATAGGTTGATATGAACTTCATGAGGAAAATACCTGCAGGAGCAGAAGCGTCAAATGTATTAGTGGGAGAAGTAGACTTTTTAGAAAGACCTATTATTGCTTTTGTGAGACTCTCCCCAGCTGTGCTTCTCTCAGGTCTCACAGAAGTTCCGGTTCCTACACGGTAAATAACTGCTTAGAAGGTCTGGCTTTACTTACACAAGATGATAATAATCTTTAAGATCTCAAAAAGTTATACCGTTTTATACATACTGTATTAAGCTCAAGAAATGTAAACTTTTGCTTAACATAATGTCAGTCATTTGGTGCCAAATTTAAAGTAATAAGATCCACTATAAAGTCTCTGAATGCTTTAAATGTATATAATGATGCTGTCTTAAACAAGTGCAGAAGCTGAAACTGGTAGTTGGAGTAAAGCAGTGAATTTTCCAAGCTTGTGTTGCCATTTTAAATATCAGCATGAAGATTGTTATACATCCCTTCAGCATGGCACAGAGTAACAGTGGGAGACTCCACAAAGTCTGAAAGTCTGTCTAATTTGAAACTATGCTCATTGTATAGAAATATTCTGTATATTAATAACCTCAGTGGTGGAAAAACTTAGTTTTTTCAGTTACATGCCCAAATCTACGTGGCTAACACTGGGGTAACCAATCTTCAGCTAATACATTGAATTGGTTTTCAATCTGCAATATGCTATCCTTCCTGGTGCACCCACCCTCATCTCCCCGATATCATGGGTCTCACAGTGTACTGTGAGTAGTTCACCACAGATCATCAAATATGAAAATGCAGGTCCCATTATAAAGATGGCAGGTTGTTTTGTCAGTCATCATAGAGGGCACTTCATTTTCTGTGCACATTGATGTATTGGTCTGTTCTGTGGTGTTTGGCATAAATATGTCCATTTATGTGTTCTGGTGGTTTTCTTTTTAATATTTTAAAATTATCAAAGTGCTTGCTTGGTAATTTTCAATTTATACAGTCTTACTGAAAGGCAAAAATAATCTTAGCAATGTTGTATAAATAAGAGAATATTCAGGGACTAGTTGCTCATAATGTTTTTTAGGAAGTTCTAGAATTTCTGCATATGGATTATCATATTAATGTATCTAAAATTATCCTGTCCTGAGTTTTTCAGAATGGTTTAGACTTTCAGATTTGGAGTAGCATATTTGATTCTAAAGATGCAGTTTCTGTTTCAGTAGGTCAGTCACCTTGCAAAAGAAAGATAACATTGAACTGTTGGTACTGTATGGGGAAAGAAGGCACTTTAAAGTATGTTATTTGTACTTAGAAATTTTATTTTCATGGAGTATAGGAAGAAGGTCATGAAAACAATTATGGAGGTTTGGTGCTTTGTATCCGTTTGAATATATAAGATACTAATCCTGTTTGGTGGTGTAATAACTGTTACTCTGATTGGAAATGGAGACTGCTAACATATGGTGTGACCCACACCAAGGTTGAATTCCTTCCCAAAATGTCACTTTTACCTTCTTAGGTATTCAAAATACAGACTCTCTTCCACTGACACAGGACCAGGATGTGTCTATATGAGTATGCCCAGCATGTTTCTTGAAATATATCAATGTATCTGTTGTGTGATGAGCCCAGTCACAGCAAGTAGGAGGGATTTAACTCCCATGAAGGAGATGATTGATCATCAGAGAGGCTAGAGCAGGTGATAAAACTCCTGGGCCCTCACTAAAAAGTCTTTGCCAGTGGGAATGTCAGAAATGCTTATAACTTGGAGGAAATATCCATTGCGCTCTAGTCTGTGGATTTCTACTATGTATCAGGCATTATAAGAACTTGAAAAATGAGGCTTAATCAGGAAGTTTTTGGAGTAATTTTGGTTCAGGATTTGAGTTCCTTCCATTAATTACTTTGAGGCCAACATTTTCTTAGTCTTGCAGCAGTCCTTAAGATCTGAAATGGTGAAGAGGATTTTTACTTCACTACGAAATTTTCTTTAAGCATTAGTTTGTAAAAACCCTCTAAGTGTATTCCATTGAGTCAGCTGTATTCTTGATTGCTCTCTCCACAGGTTTTTGTTTTTGTTGCTGGGACCAGCAGGAAAAGCTCCACAGTACCATGAAATTGGAAGATCAATAGCAACACTTATGACAGATGATGTGAGTGATATTTTAAACACTTGTGATTAAAGAAGTCCATAATAATGTGCTTACCAACTGCTTTTAATTAAAATATTCTGGTGTGCAGGGTTAACCCCTGCCCCCCCAACTGGTTGTGTAAGTTTGCAGTTTTCCATTTATTGCTTGTGTTAGTGAAGTAGATAATGGTAAATTCATTATTTCTCTTATCTACCTTGAAGAAATCCTAAATGTATTTCTGAAAAAAATTGTAGCTTTGGTGTATAGATTTCCTGTGTGTCTTAAATTAGGAAATTGAACTATTAAATGGAACTGAGCCTGATATGAATCTCTTGTGTTTCAAAAAGGACACAGTAAACTGCCCAAGTGTTCTGGACAGTAAGTTTAAGAATGTGATTGAGTCATCAGAGATCTCTTTTGAATAAAAGTGATGTCAAATAATTAAAATTAGGATTTTACTAGGCATCTGTAGTCATATGCTTAGCCCTGCTGAATGGTTTTGAAGAGCCCCGGGGCAGTTTGGACTTTCAAAGACTAATGTTATGTTACTGAGCAAAATTAGAATGTTTTAATTCTGACTTCCCATTGAGCACCACCTACTGAGTTGCTGATAATTATTAGGGCTATCAAGCAGAAGTTCTACGGTTTCTTTACTCTAGAACAGTTTAAAGTTGGAAATGTAAACCAGAAATTGGTCATTTTACAATTGGCTTCTAGTCTGTTAATACGGTACTTGTACAGTGTGAGAATTGAATATTAAAAGCTTTAGTTGCCACTTCTAATTTATAAGGTAGCTCTTAATGCGAAAGTATGCAACTAAAGTAAAAGCCTAACTTTTGAGGACCTTTAAAAACTATTCCATGCCTTTTAAAAAATAGTTCCTTGTAATCACATCCTCTTTCAAAAAACCAAACCACCACCACTGTTTCATAATTTCTTCTTGCAGGTTTTCCATGATGTTGCCTATAAAGCAAAAGACCGAAATGATTTGTTGTCAGGAATTGATGAATTTTTAGACCAAGTGACAGTCCTGCCTCCAGGAGAATGGGATCCATCTATACGAATTGAGCCACCAAAAAGTGTTCCTTCCCAGGTAATATACTACAAAAACATTCACGTAAATTGTGTACTGAGTGTATACTTCAGTAGAACATCAGGGGAGTCCCCACATTTGGGATTGTCAATTTAAGTAAAAAAAATCCAAAAGTGCATTGTCAGTTTAAGTAAGAAACAAAACAGAGAATCAAAAAAAGTGTTAATCCATTTCCTTCTGTACTTTTAAGTAAGTTGTATTTACCATATTTCCTTTCATAATGCTGAAATGAGTTTCTGTGAGATCTAGAAGAACTGGTCAGAAATTGTACCTTAGTGCATACTGTAAATTTGATTATTAATCAAAGAATGATCAGCAAGAATATTGTAATTCTTCTAAAAACTTCTATTTGCATACAGCATTTATTGAAATGTTGTAATGTGTATTGGCTAGCATATAATGTTTACAGAATGTTTATGAATTAGATTAAAAACTGGATCATATCACTCAGTTGTGGCACAAGCTTAGAATTAGAGCCAAGGCAAAGCTGGACCTTAGAGGGACTCTTGATTTCTTCCCTTTCTTCTTCTTCACAACTGAGGGTAATTGCTGCTGTCAGGATCAAAAGTGCTCTTGATTCAAAAGGTTGACATTGGCGTTGAATCCAGTGGTGGTTTAGGGGTGTGGGTGGAATGGAATGGGTGACAGGAGCTCAGTCTGTCCATGAATAGCCTGGAGCTACCACTTAACTTGTTTCCAAAATAAGCAGGGCTCAGGGCTTTTTGCAAGGCAAACTGGGCTGAGAAATTTATGAGGAGCTTGTGAGCAGCTTGCTCAATAGGGGAATGACTTCTCATTTATACTGGAATGACTTCTTACTTGCACTTCAGCTAAACACTGTGTGTGTCAAAAAGTGAGGTCAGTTTCTGTTGGAAGCTAGAGGCCTCTGCTCTGGAAATGATTGAGGTGAGCAGAAAAGAAACTTGAAAATTTCTAGGCAATCATGGTTGAGCCTCTGCTGTGTTTTGGAAAGGTAGCCTTTTTTTCATCATATTTCAGGGTCATATTTCTTGTAGAAAGAGGGAAGATAGGGTTGGGCAAGGTACTACTAGTAAGAGCTTTTAGGGGAGTTTTTGTACAGTTCTTGTTGTCTGTACTCAAGATGACTTTGGCAAATGGAGTACTGCTGATGAGCTGGGACCATGATAAAGGTTTGGGAGGTGTGGAGTCTCTTCATGCTGTCTTTGAATTATACTTCTTAGTGTAAAGGCACTCTGAAAGTATGATATTTTTCTTTTCTTTTTCCCCCACCTTTACTGCCCCCAGGAGAAAAGGAAGGTACCTAAATTTCCAAATGGATCTACTCCTACAGGAGAGACTCTCAAAGAAGAAGGCCATCATGCTGGACCTGAACTTGAGAGAACTGGAAGGTGTGTTCACTTTCCTAAATACTAGATACCATAAAAAAATAAAAGTAATAAACCTTCACAGTTTTTAATGGTGACATTTGAACATAAAAATAATGGTATAAGTGTCAGAGCGCATCCTTTTTCCTTTTCAAGTGTTGAATTCTTGCCCATAAATGCCAATCCACTTAAAGCATTTTCAAGCCTGTGGCAATGTTTCTCAACACATTTGCGAAGGATTTCATATAAGATGCTGCCTAATTTAACTAACTGACTTTAAGAGTTCGATTTTATAATTGTCAAGAGTAAGCAATTATCATAATTGTAAGAGGAATATACAATTTTCAGTATTGGGCTAGGTACTAAAAATTTCAATTAAAATCTGTTTTCTTAAACATGCATGAAATTGAACATCTAGGGATATAAAGGGGAAAAAATACTTTGGTATTGGTTATGTTTTGGATTTGGTCAGGTTTCTTTTAGATCTAAACTAAAATTGAAGGAATTTCTTTCAGTTGACTTGCATTGTTATTCCCAGTTAGTTCTGAAATACTTGCAAAAAAGTCCAAAATTGGAAATATCTGGTTAAGATTAAACCTTAATAGCTCATGTATGAGAGAGTATGGATTAAATCAGCTGAGAAATTCTGAAAAATATGTACAATGAGGTTATCCCCAAAATAATGAACTTCCAAATGAAATTCATCTTTCTCATACCTTTGCAAGAAGGACTTTACAACATTTGTGTTGATTTTTACTATTTTGGCCTTGTTATACTTACCTTTTGCTGTTTTGCAGACAGTATATGGAGCTCAGAGATTAATTTCTGCCCACAATTATTGTTAGATGAGACTCTTGTTTTTCTTAGGAATGGGATATTAAATTATTTTTTTATAATTCAAAATAAATTTTTTTTGTAGGTGCAAATTATACCTAATATTTTGGAGTCTTGTAAATTTTTTGGAAACTGACAAAAGCTTTTTAATTCCTTGCGAGTAATTTACTCATTTGAACTGACATGTTTGATTTTTGTATTTCCATTTTAGCATATCTCTATACTCCAGGTGAAAACACTGTTAAAAGTAGTAGGCCTGAATTTATGGAACTAGCCGCATGCATGTAGAGAATTTGAATCAACTTGCTGGAGTAGTAATATTGAAATGTGTCAATGCAGTGGTCTTGGTTGAGGCTTAGCACATTTCTTCTGTTCCTTCTTTTGAATGTTGCAAGACAGATTTGATTTAAAGCATTATTTAGGTAAAAGCACTTGCAAAGATATTTTTTTCAGTATCTAGCCCATACACAAAAATACCTAGCCAGCATTTAAAGATGTGGATAACCTGCTTGATTGTATTTAGAATACTACTGAAATGGAATAGATAAGATTCGCATTTACGTTTTAAAGTGTTATGATTTAATCTGGATTACAAAATAGCTAATTCGTGCTGGTAGTAGGCACTGGCAGTCATGTGTAGCCCATAGTTTTAAACTAGCTAGAATCCTCTAGTGTACAGTTTGACGAGTTTCATCTCACCTATTTAGGCTTTTTGGTGGTTTGATACTTGACATCCAAAGGAAAGCACCTTTTTTCTTGAGTGACTTCAAGGATGCATTAAGCCTGCAGTGCCTGGCCTCGATTCTTTTCCTATACTGTGCCTGTATGTCTCCTGTAATCACTTTTGGAGGGCTCCTGGGAGAAGCTACACAAGGCAGAATAGTGAGTACAAAGAATGGTAGTGGCCAGGCTTTTAGACCTTCAGAGGCAAGTCACTGTGTGCATTTGTCTCATTTACTTATACTTGTATTTGAAGAATTTACCCACAGCACTTGATTAGCCTGCCCCAAAGCAGATCTTCCCCAAAAGGTAATTGCTGTGGAAAATGTGGGGCACCCATGTGAACAGGAGAAGATGCACAGTGGAGGTAAAAAATGTTTATCCTGCCTTATTGGATGAATGGCTTTCATGAATTGAAAAAAAGGCTTGCATTGCCTTCTTTTTGGCTCGGTAAAATAATGCAATAGCAGTAAAGGTGCACCATCCCACTAGGCCTACTTTAGGCAAAGTCAGAAGCTCAAGGTGGATAGTCAAGAACATGTACTGGCCTTGAGTAGTAGGCCTATGAGGATGATAATGCCTGCAGCGTATGGGTAGCAGTCACTTGTGTATTTAAGTAATGGACAGGATATGCATATGCTTTCACTAATGGTATGTTGTTAACTATAAAGCGGCTAAGGTTTATGAGCAGAAAATACTCTTCATTGTAAATGACTTGAATATAAACCATACACATACAAAATTCTGGTAGTGTTATTGTTGTGCAGTAGATAACTTTGGTTTTGGGGTCAGGGAAAGAATACTTAAAATCACCAGTGTTAATAACTTAGTATTTTTGTCGATTGGCTTGTGAGTTAATTAGTCTGAAGTGTATTTTCTGTTTGTAAATCCATCATGAAGAAACAAGGCTCTGTCCCCTTGGGGGAAGTAAAGATGTATTTAGACATGTCCTTTACAAATTTTAAGTTTCTGGTAAAGCTTATAGTGCCATAAAAATCATTTTGATACTTAGATCAAGTTCTTTAAGCTTGTATTATATTAAAATTTAGTTAACTGTTACGTCTCTTTCAAGTAGTGCTGTTGACTCAGATTTTTTGTTTATTGATGTATCACTCCAAGCTGATAGCAAATGCCAAAATAAATTATATCATTCTGTGTGCTGTTTTTGCCACTGTAAGTGTAGGAATGGTTATCAAAATGTTGATGTAACTTTTGAGTGTGCGTTATGTATAATTATGAACATATGCTCCTTTTAAGGCTTGATTCTTAAACACCTTCTTTCTTTTAGCTATCTGGAATTGTTTGCGGGTTTGTTGCTGCCTTCAGATACTTGGTGTGCATCATTGAATATAAAATTTAGTTACTGCACACACATGTTCAAGCACAGTAGCTGACACTGTAAGGTACACAGTTTGTCTTTGAAACCTTCCCTTGCATTCTCAGAGGTCATCACCTCCACAGTACTGTCCCTGCCACCCTGATCGAGAACCCCAAGGTTAATGCATTGACTGACCAAAAGCACTAATTCACGGGTAGTAAAACAAGAGACTGTGATTATATATATGTTTTTTCCTAATGTAATTAACAAAGAACTTATGTTTTCATTTTTAATAGCCCCAGTACAGCAAACCATTTTGCCCAGTTTTAGATCTTTCCTGATTCGGAGCTTAACTTTGCATAAATACTGTTTTCTTAGGCTTGTGTAATTGTAAAATAGCAGACACTTAACAATTCCACCAGGAGCCCTTTAATCTGTAATCCATGACTTCTCATAGTTATAAATAGTGTCTTCAACTATTTTCAAGTAATTTTCATATCATTTTAGCATCTAAAAAGTCCTGCCCCTCTGTTTTGAGGTGCAGCATAACTTCTTTTTAGCAGAAAAGTGTTAAAACACCTAAATCGTGAGCTGAAGTATTATCTTACTTCAGTGAAAAAAAATGCATTACCAGGAGGGACATTGTTTTACTGCTCATCTGTTTTCGGTGTCATGTATGCATAAACTAGTATTGTTATGTAGCTTCCCCTGCACCTCCACCTGTCAAGTTTCTTTTGTAATGCTTGGTTGACTAATGCAGGTTTTAGTAAGGTATGTTGCAATATATTTGGCTGTTTTCTTTTCAGAGACAGATTGTTCTTTCTGTAAACTACATGTTGAGTAACTTTTATTTTCTTAATTTGTGGTAATTGTTGGTATGTTTTTCCTCCATAGCTGGCAGGACTAGTAACTTGTTCTCATGGTTTTGGATGGCTTTAGGTTTCTCAGGGACTGAAGTTTGCAAAATCTTTTTTCCATGGTATTGTAACTGCAAAACTGTGTTGTTATTTTTGTCTCAAACATCAATATTAATTGCAATGTTTTTACACCTTGTTTCTAAGTTAATGCATCTTAAAACTGTGTTTGTGCAGATGTGATGCTAAATGCTAACCTGAAACGCAGCGTAGTTACAACAGTTTCTTTTCCCCCAAACAGAGTGCAATAGAGTCTCTCTTTGGAGCCTCATTAACTGGGATTGCCTATTCTCTCTTTGCTGGGCAACCTCTTACTATTCTGGGGAGCACCGGACCAGTTCTAGTATTTGAAAAAATATTATTTAAATTTTGTAGGTAAGTGATGTTTGTATTCTCTTGATGTACTTTCTAACTTGCTAGCCTGTTACAGTAGCTTTAGTTGAAAACAGATGTGTGCTAAAAGTGTATGTCCATGAAGATATGAATGCAGTGTCAAGAGACTAAGAGATGGATGGGGTTTGGCCAAGCTGTTAGGCACTGGTGAGCCTTCATGAGAAAATCAGTGATAAGTAGTGGCTAGGACTTCAATAAAAGTTATGTTGATTATATTTTTATATATATATATATATGTTGATTTTATATATATATATGTTGAATATATATAGATTGATTATATATATAAAAGTTGAGTTGCTGGCTTTGGTTCTGCAGGGGTAAACAGGGGTTGATCTGCCTTCTAGGAGAAAACATCTAAGTAACTCTAGAAAGATCATTCCCATGATGCTTCCCAAGATAGGTAGTTGCACCCTCAATCCTAGAAACACACTGCAGTGTTGCTTTGATTTGGTGGAAGAGGAGACAGAAAAGTTTCTGCTTCTTTCAGATCTAGTGTTAAGGATGAGGAAAGTAGTGACTACCTCTTGAGCTTGGCCTCAGTATCTGTTTTCAAATAGAATATAAGTGACTTTTGGCTCAGTTAATACTTCTGTTTCTGTCTTCACACAGGGATTATGATCTTTCCTACCTCTCCCTGCGAACTAGCATTGGTCTGTGGACTGCATTTTTATGCATAGTGCTTGTAGCCACAGATGCCAGCAGCCTTGTGTGTTACATCACTCGATTTACTGAGGAAGCTTTTGCAGCACTTATATGCATCATATTTATTTATGAAGCATTGGAAAAGCTTTTTCATTTGGGAGAACTGTATGCCTTCAATATGCACAATGACTTGAGTAAACTGACTTTATATTCGTAAGTACCAAGTTTCTGTCCGTTAGTAAAATACGTAGTGAAAATGTTTGTAGCACAGAGACGTACCATTTACTAAACTGCAATGTGTGCCTCTCCTAGGAAGGGTAGGAGGAATGCTGGGGGTGGTATGGGCATGAGAAACCTCAGAAAAATTCTATTCAGGATGCTGTGGATTGAATTTTCTGTGTTAGCTCTGGGTGGTTGGAAGGGATAAGGGGCTGTGACACTGCCTGCTTTAATTGTACCTTTATTAAAGGTCAGCCTGGAGATTAGATCTCTGTCTTTCTGTCTTTCCACTTCTAGAAATCATGATAGTTTACCTGACCTGGGTGAGGATTAATTCCAGGTGGCTGAGGCATGGAGAGCTTCTGCAGCTTTCACATTCTATACACAAGCTGTATAAGTTACTCTGTTTGCAACTACCTCATAGGAATTACTGCTTTCCAATCTTCTGTTTCTTTTTGCTGTTACTTTAGGATCCAGTTAGGAAGGAAAGTATATTTGTAGAATCATAGAATGTGGGTTTGAAGGCACCTTAAAGATAACTTAATTTCAAACCTCCCCATGAACATTTAGTGCTTTTTCCTTCTTTATTGTCACACCATCAGGATGCAAGCTTGCCCTTCTATGGTTCTTTGTTTTTTCGGTATCTTGACAAATCTCATAGAAAGAGGAGACTTACTTCTTGCTTACTCTCTGTTTCTTTTCTACATAAATGTTTATGTGTTAAGCTTATGGTTTGGTGTACTTAACTAGCTTTGATTTAATTGGATGTTTTCAGATAATCTTCAGTATGTTACATGGTTTTGGTTGGGTTTTTTTAACTGATGTGTACGTCTGTGGGCCTGTCTGATAGAAAGGACCTTGCAGTCCAACTTCGCAAACCACTGCAGTTAGGAGGGGCACTTTTAGTTGTACAAAAACTGACTGAAAAACGCGTAGATGTAGTTGCTTTAAATCTGAACAGTTTATGCACTTCTATCTTCAGTTAGCCCACCACATACTCAAGAAGAGTGTCTTACTTCATGGTGACCAGTTTTGTCATATGTAGATCAGAAAGCATGCCAAATGCAAGATAAACGGCTGACTACCAACATTTTAGAAAAGAATCAAACTTCTAGTACCTAATGACATGTCTGGTTTGAAAAGGAGCTGCTGAAATTGAGTCATCTGAACCAGTTTCTAAAATGAAATGGATTTTTAACTTAATCCTTTATTCACAATATGTAGGAGTCTGCATATATTATCTATTTCATTTTATTATCGGGTGTCATTCTATATGGAAACTGGCAAAGCAGCCAAATAATTACGTCACTGTCTTGCCTGCTTCTAAATCTTTAAAATACATAGTTTGGGGTTTTTGTCCAATCTGTTAAACCTCCTGAGCAGTTGCCTCTTTGATTCTTCTTTTCCCACACACCCCCAATAATCCTAATTCATGTCACATAAGGAAGAGCCTTATACTCTGCTGCTTTCATAAAGCTTGGGGAAAACTGTGGTTTAAATTTTTCAGGATATTTGAAATTACTGCACATCACTGCACTTTGGCACATACAGCTTAAATGCATATACATTAATTTTTAATTCCCTTCAGATGTGTGTGTGCTGCTCCTGAGAATCCCAGCAATGAAACTTTGCGCGTATGGAGGAATATGAATAAGTCTGTGGAAAGTATAGCATGGAGAAATCTTACAGTTCCTGTGAGTATCTAAAAGCTCTGTGTGTGTGTGTGTGTGTGTGTGTGTGTGTGTGTATGTATAAAACTAAATACACAGTACCACTCTGGATTATTTTTTTTTTTTTTCATCTTTCATCAAGAAATATTTGAACCTGGACTGTTGTCTTTAAACCTATGTTTCTGAAATCTTTTATTCCTCCCATAATGTTTTAAGCAGTCATTGTAGTTGCTCGGATCAATGAGTGCATGACAGTAAATGCTAGATAACGTGATACACAGTAATATCATAAAACGTCTGATTGAGGTAACCACTTGAATTCTGAGAGGCAGAGCAGTCTTCTTTGTGAATGTCGATGAGATAAATGAATAAGAAATTGCTTCCCTCAATTTCCCGGAAAGAGTGAAGAAGTATTTTTAAGAACTGAAGATGGAATCTGCAGTTAAAATGTGGTAGCAAACACTTTTCATTTGTTAAACATTGGTATGAAACTACAGTAGAATCAAATAAACTACCTAAATAATGATTGGAAGAAAATAATTACCTGGAAACTTGAAAGGAAACAGATGAACTGTTGGAAGGCATAGACTTGAAAGCATTTTGTATTGTGTTTCATAACTCTGTGTGCCTAATTCAGCCATCTTAGGATATCTAAAATGGCAGTAGATAGCCGTGTATGTGCTCTCCTTGTGTCTGAGCCTAGACATTCGCACTGGAAGCAGGCATTTTGCACAGCAAAAATATTGTGAAAAATCTCAGGGCATTACTGAAGGCGTAACTGCAGTGTTTTCTGTGTACGACCAATGGCTCCTGCTTTACTGTAATCACATAGGATGGCAGTTTTGAACTTAGTTTTTACGTTTTTCTTATATTTATTACTCATTTTATATACCTTTTCATTCTCTTAAACATCTTTAGTCTTCCCAGAGATGCAGAACTGATCCAGAATTTGGTGGTGCTTATAATCAAAGTACATTGTTAACAGGATGAATTTTTGTCTTCAGTTAAATTTTCAATAAATTAACCTGTTCTATAGACCAGGTTGTGGCAGTGCTGCTTACTGAATTTATTGTTGTTTCCTCATAGTCTGTGTGTCTACTTTAATTCTTTACTTTGCATTTCAGTAAGCCTTTTTGATAGGAATCATCTGACTTTGCTCTCTTTTTTATTCGTATTACTTATGATGCTTTTCTACTTTTTCTTCTTACAGTTGGATAAAGCTCATTTTGTAAGAGTCTGTTTTTTTTTTTTCCTTAACTGTATTGGGACAGAACAAAGTCAAGAATAAAGATGGGAGAAACTGAGGAGATCTTTTTTTATGTTTGCTGGTTTGAAAGTTGATGTCAATAGTCCGCTTTTCTCGGGCTTAGTCCTCAGTCTTTATTTATACATTCAGTTATGTGATGCTTTGAGAAATAGAAATGAGGGTGCATGTAAAGAAGCTGTTTCCATTCTGGTATCTTCCAGCATATTTTGTCATCCTGAAATAATCAGTGATAATCAGTGTGGCTCTTCTGCAACAGACAGCATGCATTTTTGGCATTTCAGGCAGATGAAGGAAAGAACTCCCCTGTTTGTGATTGTAGAAATTTATGTGTTTTATATAAAAAACTGCAAGTTAGCTTGAACGTACTAAATGAATAAAACACAGGAATTTAAGAAGCTTTTCTCTTTGCAGGAATGTTTAGAATTGCATGGTGTGTTTCATGGATCAGCTTGTGGGCGTCACGGACCATATATTCCAGATGTTCTCTTCTGGTCTGTCATATTATTCTTTACAACATTTTTCCTCTCCTCTTTCCTTAAGCAATTCAAGACCAAACGCTATTTCCCAACGAAGGTAATTCTGATTAGACTATTTTTCTCTTGTGATAAAGAATTAGTATAACTTAGAGGAGTTGAATTTTCTATTTTGCTTCAGAAATTTGTGTTGCGAGATTTCTTTTAAGACCAAAAAAACCCAACCCAAAACAAATAATGCAAACTTTAAGCAAGAAAATGAACAGATTATTCCAAAAATGAAGACATTAGAGGAAAGAAATTGGCCACAGAAGATTTAGTGCTTATTCTCTAAATGTTATAAACATTAGAAGATCTAAAGCAGTCTGTTTCCCTGTATTGTTGGGTACTGCCCAGGTACCATTCGGAGAGATAATACTGCGGCTAGGTTTTCTTCATCTAGCTGTACAGAGCAACTTACTGCTTTCCCCAGACTGTTGATGTATGAAGGATTCTGAGTAGTTCCTCAGGGGATTGATATTTCTACTAGAGGCTAATATAATGATTATCCCTGGAGTGATTTACACAGCTTATTTCTGCTAGCCAGAATAAAGTATTTAGATACTTTGTAAACCTCAGCCCATTCCTACAATGTGTTCCTAATGTTTAGTAAAGTCACCTCTGATAACCTGAATCTGTTGCAAATTATACCTCTCCTGTCATCAAATGTATGAATACTGATTTGGAACAATTCAGTGCTGTGACTGAATCAAGCTACAAAACACTATCTGTGATGGCCCAGCATCCTAGTAGGGTTGGGGGGACAGGAAGATGAGGAAGGAATTATTTTAAGTAATTCATTTCTTGCAGTAGGTCACTTTTAAATGAGGATGAACAGTTGTACAGAATAGTTGCCTTCTGCAGCTTCATGCTGTTCTGGCAGGCAGCTTAAATTTAAAAATAAAAAGAGAAAGTATATTGAATGTTCAGTGGTGTAATATAATATAAATAGACTTCACTTTTCACAGGGGAGAAAGTTCTTCCTGTACACGCAAATTACAATGATAAAAAAGCAAGAGTTAACACAGGTCATTTCTTTATAGGTGCGTTCTACCATCAGTGACTTTGCAGTATTTCTGACCATAGTAATAATGGTTTTGATTGACTATCTCGTGGGAGTACCTTCTCCTAAGCTTCACGTTCCAGAGAAATTTGAAGTAAGAAATACAACCTTTTAAAAAACTTAACTTTTTAAATGCTTGCAGTTTTGTGGACAGTAGAACAGTAGAATTGTGTAGGAACAGAAATTTATCTTCTTTACTTACAAATTAGTTGATGAAGTAACTTCTCTTTTCTGTTTTGGATGTATATCTCATCTGACAGTATAGACTATGCTTTATATTATAATATCACTAAAACAGAAGCATTCTTTAGTGCGAACATGCAAAAATGAAGGAGTGGAATGGATTCCATTCCATGTAGATTTAATAGTCACACATATAACAGCTAAATCAGTCTTTTGGTCAAAGCTGTTGGAAAAAAATCTAAACTCATATTTAAAAGACTGTTGATTTGTTCATTTGTTGATTTGCAGCTGTTTGCAAGAATAAAATCTGCATTTTATTTTAGTAATTTCTCATTGTGGATCTTTATTTTTTCAGCCCACTCTAAAAAACCGAGGATGGTTTATGGATCCTCTTGGAAGCAATCCTTGGTGGACACTTTTGATAGCTGCTGTTCCTGCATTACTCTGTACTATTCTCATTTTCATGGATCAACAAATAACAGCTGTTATTATAAACAGGAAAGAGCATAAGCTGAAGGTAAAAGTGATTTTCACAAAGCTTGAGTGTTGTGTAAGTCAAGTTTATTTTAAATCAGAATCACTCTGCAAGTCTGTGAAATGTTGCCAACAGCTACTACATAAATGGGTATATAGGCTAACAAAGAACAAATACTATTTTGTGGACACTCTCAAAGTATTTAACTTTTTTAGTAATAATTTGTTTACCAGCTGAGTTATAAATATTGTATCATAAATAGAAAGTTTATAAAATTATTTGTTTGCTTAATTTCACAGAAAGGCTGTGGCTATCATCTTGATCTGCTCATGGTTGGTGTTATGTTGGGGGTATGTTCTATCATGGGCTTACCGTGGTTTGTTGCTGCAACTGTCCTGTCTATAAGTCATGTTAACAGCCTGAAAGTTGAATCTGAATGCTCAGCACCAGGAGAGCAACCAAAGTTCTTGGGAATCCGGGAGCAGCGAGTGACAGGATTGATGATTTTTGTCCTGATGGGGTTGTCAGTGTTCATGACCTCAGTGTTAAAGGTAAAAGACAGTTGTCCCAAAATATTTTCTTTGTGCTTTTCATTTTGATATTTAGCATTTCATAATGTTAGAAAGTTTTATTATGTTAATTAAAGCATACCTGGACTCATTCTTAATTTGCTTTTTTAACAACAGATGTTAATTGAATAAAAATTATGTAAGAAAATGAAAGTTGAGCAAGTTAGGAATGTAGTGAGTAGTGAAGAAAGCTACTTTCTTCCATATTACCTGATTTTCTTGCCAGCTATTCTTTAGTTTCTTTAGTTCCTTACTTAAAATAGTTATTCTGTAGTTTTCATGTGAGTACATAAATGGAGAGAGAGAGAGAAGGAGTGTGACAAGATTACAAAGTTACTTGAGCAGAAGCGATATAGCAGAAGAAACAAACCCATCTAGTTTAAAAAGTGATCAGCAGAAATTGCATTGTTCACTTCTCATTCTTCAGATAATTAAACTTCCTTTGATGTTTGGAGTGTCAAGATTATCTTATTCATTGCCACGGTGTAACAGATTTTTCAGGTTGTATTGTGGCCTCAGTTTACACTTTTTCTTTTAATTTATATCTACAGTGCCCTTCCAAAGACTTCACTGAAACAAAAGCAGTCAGTTCAGTTGGCTTTTTGCTCAGATTTGAGTAAAATCCATTCAACTTCTGCTTAGCTGTTTCAAAGCCAGTAGTTATAATGAGAAATGAAAAAAAACCCACACCTTTTTGTTGCCAAAATAACAGCTATTGTATAACTGCTTATACCTTTACAGAATTTTGTAAAACTCTGTTCAAACACAGATCACAAGTTGTTCACAAAAAGGTAGCTTCTAATGACTGTTTAAGTGTAGGTAATGGGAAGATGGAGACACAGCTATAGTTTAAAAATTAGAGCTACATATATTTCTGAGTAGTTGACCATTGGTATGTTTTAAAGTAGGTAAAGGTCTGAAACAATAAGGCGTAGCAGTTATAAGCTGCTCAATGACGCATATGTTTTTTTCTATAAAGAAAGTGTCAGCTTTTATAGAGTTCGCTTACTTAAAATACAAATTCAGAAGTAACTTGGTCAATGTCTTTCACTAATATGGACTGCTGTGTTATGCCATGTTAATTTCACAAGTAACTGGGTGTTTTTTCCTTCCCAGTTTATTCCAATGCCAGTTTTGTATGGTGTCTTTCTTTACATGGGAGTATCCTCATTAAAAGGCATTCAGGTAAAGTCTGATTTTAATGAGTGGTTTGCTTTTATTTAGCACTGAATGACACATTGCTTTTTGTGAACAACAATCAAGTCAGCCCATATTGTTTGAATAACATTTGTATTTGTTCCTACAATGTTGTCCCTTCACTTCTCACTTCTTTTGCGTTTATTCTTTCAGTAGTGTAGCTGAGCAACAAATTTTCTGAAATAGCGTGAAATTTTATAGTGGTAATAGCAGGGAAAGAAACACAATAAAACACAATGGCACCAATACTCACCCACTTGAATGAGTACTTTATTTGGGATTAATTTATGTTTCTAGGGTGCCCTAAACATGTTTATTTCCTATCTGGAGGGGAAGAAAATAATTAACTGAAGGATGATTTTATTCTTCAATGCAGTTTTTTGACCGTATAAAACTGTTTGGAATGCCTGCCAAACATCAGCCTGACCTGATTTATCTACGTTATGTGCCACTCTGGAAAGTCCATATCTTTACAGTTGTTCAGCTCACTTGTCTAGTTCTGTTGTGGGTGATTAAAGCCTCTGCAGCTGCTGTTGTTTTCCCTATGATGGTAAGTTTTCTGTTTTACAAGTTAATTGTTTTCCAGGAGTGTGTGCATCATCCAGGATCTCTTCAAAACATATTTGCTACTTTGAGAAAGAAGGGAGTGGGAAGGAAACAAAAGAACCTGTAATACAAGTTTTGTTCACTTTTGAAACACAAGGTCTTTTCATTTCCTCATAATAAACAATGCAGTTGTGAATAGCTATTGAAGGTGGAAATTATTTAACTTTGTGGTGAGATAAAAGTAGCCCAATGAAAAAGGGCTTCAGTTAAAAATTCTGAATGTACTGAAAGTGTGTGTGCATTTTTGTTCACTTAAATAGCGTAATATAAATGATTCCATTATGGTTCCCTTAAGGTTCTAGCTTTAGTGTTCGTTCGCAAGCTCATGGATTTATGTTTCACCAAAAGAGAGCTTAGCTGGCTTGATGATCTTATGCCAGAAAGTAAAAAGAAGAAAGAAGATGACAAAAAGAAAAAGGAGAAAGAAGTAAGTATGAAAACAATCAAACTAAGCATGTGTAAGTTGCTAGGAAATACTCAGTGAGACTTAAGAACTTTAAGTGGCCTGAGCATATGACCACATATACCAAATACATACTTTGAAACTTTTTACTAATGAGATTTAATGCTTGAGTAATTATTACTGGCAATTAAGTCGAACAGTCAGTTTCAATGATGCTAGTATGAACTATGACTCTTATTTGCAATTTAAATTAGTAGGCAATGGCAAAATAAGAGGTTTTTAGCACAAAATGTTGTTTACTTTGTCTTTCATCAGGTTAAAAGGAGAGAAAAGGGAGAGAGAGAGAAAAGCAGTGGATTACGGATCTTTGCTTACATTAATCACAGAACTCTTCATCATATTAGGGACATCTTGCTCGTGTATGTTTGCAGAGCTGTAGTTAAAATCAACTGCTAGTTACAAATACTATAGTAATATAGCTTGTATAACTTTTCCATGGAAGTCTCACTTAACTGTACACCATCTAACTGAATTTCTCACAAAACTTGTAACACCCTTCTTTCCACTTCCCATCACCCCTACCTGGATAAAACACTTCTAAGAAAAAAAGCCTTAAACTGTATCTTCTGCATTCAGCTTCAGGACCTATGGGGAAATGGCCTTTACCCCTATGGAAATGAACTGTCAGTATGAGATACTACTTTGATTTCTGCTTCTTAAGTAATTTTGTACATTGTTTTATTTGGAATTTACAGGAAGCAGAGAGAATGCTTCAGACAGGGGACAATGAAAGCGTACACCTTGCATATGGAGAAGCAAACTTGGATTTTCCTGTAAAAAAACTAAAATACAGGTATAATAAAAATGTTGGTCTTTTAAGAGTTTTGTATCATATGCTGTAATCTCTTTATAGTAAGTTGTTTGTGTATGAGTTGGATTTTTTTTTCCCAAGCTTCTAACTCAGCCATGATTAGGAAGTATAAAGGTTTATCTCGTGGTGCAGTAGTAGCATTTTTGTGTTGCATTGTTCTTTCAAACTGCATCTTAATTGTAAATTTACATGACCATCTTGAACAGATCAGATGACTCAATTTCGACCAGCTGTACTCAAGTCGAAGAAGCTTCCTTGGTCAGTTTTTGTGGAATACTTGTGTGTTGCTGTGCATGAAATACTGAGTATTAAGCAACTAATAGCATCAGTTGAGCCATGTGTTTACCAGCCACTAGGATTTTTCAGAAAAAGTCTTAAGTGTGCAGTTCTTCGATGGTTTATTTAAATGAGGGCTGAAGTCCATAATTTCTGTGATATAAAAAAAAAACCCAGCTGTACAGACAGCTGTCTTTAGGTACAGAGGTCATTTTCTTAAAGTAAATGTGAGGACAGGGTTACTGGTTTGCTTCCAGAAATAGAAGTGCTGGAATTTCATTGCAATTCCTTCAGCACTTAGATGTACATACCTACCTTACTGCTTTATCCTAGCTGGGTGGTCTGTAACAGACACCTACCAGCATATCTGCTTGGTTGGCCTTCCCCCTGATCTTCACCCGCATTCAACCTTCTCACTTACAACACTGAGTTTCAAGTAGTTGATGCGCTCCCTGACATACAGTGCATCCCCACAACCTCTCTTTCCTTGCCTGTCACTTCTGAAGAGCCTATAGCCATCCATTGCAGCACTCCACTCATGTGAATCAACACATAGTCGTCACATATTCTACAGCAGTTCAACACAGCCAGAAGATGTGACAGATAGCTTGCCAGCTTTTTTTGCTTCTCTAATACTAAGAGTTCCTAGGTTGAAATATGCTTTCCTACAGATCTAGAGTAGTATCAGTTCTACCTTGATCCAAGTTGGGAACAAGCAGATTTTTTGATTTAGATACACATTCCTGCCAAGTGCTTTTGTTTACTCTAGGAGTAGGCTTAATCAGACTTCAGCAACTCAAATGAAAATGATAAATGCTAAAGCTTTTTCAAGAGACATTTGAGCTGCTAATTGCTCTCTCTGCGTGCATTTGCCATATATTTCACTGTCTTGCATCTTGTGGGGATTCCTTTAGGAAGAAATGGCTTTGAAACATTTCTGTGCAGTTTCAAGAACTCTTACAGGTACCCTCATATACATTCTGAAGTTTAAATACGGAGCAAACCAGAAAACATACCTACAGACAACATCTAAGTTCACTGTACATAGAAATGTGTGGAGGGCAAAGGGAGAAATAGGTTTTGAAAGCTTACCATATGTGATGGTCGACTTCTGCAGGGCTTGGGGGTTAGTGGCAAAAAAACTTGAAAAATAATAAGGTAGTGCAGGGAAAAAAGAAAACCAACTTGAAATTTGTCAAGATAATTGGGGTTAGTTTTTACTAGTTTTAAATCTCAACTGAGTCACCAGTTTCAAAATGTTGTTAACATCTGCTTCTTTGCCCCTGATTATTTTCTGAGAGCAACTTGAAAAGATTCTGATTTATAAAAGCAGAATAGTATGCTTAATTTCATTTTTTCTGAGCATGTTAACTTTTTTTTTCTGAAGTTACTTCATTTCTAAATCATCTGTGCCTCTCAAGTATTCTGATACCTGTGTGAAAAACTGTTTCAAGATACTCTGTGATTAAGGGAGTGCTAGTGAGTTAACTTTTCACATTTTTCTTCAAATGCATTTGTAAGACGTGAACTCAACTTGTGGCTGTGTAAATATTGAAAGAAGGCACAACTGATGTAAATGATGAGTGCTAGTAAGTATAATGCCGTTGCAAGGTATGGAATACTAACCAGAAAGTATGTTTGTTCTTTAGCACTGATCCCTCAATTGTAAACATATCAGATGAAATGGCCAAAACTGCACAGTGGAAGGCTCTTGCCATGAGTACTGAGAATGCCAAAGTAACCAGAGCTAACCTGAGGTAGCTATAACTACTCACGGGTTTTCTAACTATGGTCTTCTCTTTAGCAGCTAATAGCTGTACTTGTATTTCTTAAAATGTGTTTCCAAAAAAATGAGCATTTGTGGTTTGTAAGTCTGCATTGACTTGTTACTTTTGAGGAACTTGAATTTATTTTTTGCTCTTTACTCTGAAGTGAAACAATTTCTATGACAAATTCCAAGTATTTTATTAAATGTATTATTCCAATGTTACTCTATGTGCTTAATACAACTGTATGCTACTCTAAAGGGCATAGGGTTTCTAAAAGTTTTACTAAAGTGTACCTGAGCATGGGAATTGTTTGATCCTGAACATAAAAAATACCAGTGGGAATAAAAGGTAAGTCCAGAACTTCCAATGTTGCTTTATGCCACCTGTTTTTGTGAGTGGGTTGGTTGGTTGGTTCTTTTTTCCCCAGTCCCTGTCTGGCTGATCTGTCAAGGGGAACAAAGCAAATCCTGAATATTTGTGGAATATCCACAGCTTCCTCAAAGGCTTGTAGTTTATAGGGACTGGTGTCTGTGGACTGTTTCATCACAATGCATCTATTGCTTAGTAGTTTTTATGTAGGAAAAAGGGGAGAATGGGCCCACTTGACTCTGAAAAATAAGCTTATTCAGTCTTTTCATGCATCTTTTCTTGTTTGATCCCTTTCAGCCAAGTCTGTCAAAGGAAGACAGGTTTCAGAGGTATGAAATTGGCAAGTTTTGTGGAAAATTACATCTCAGTGGGAGAGTTGGTTTTAAGGGAGCGTTCATACGTAGTTGAGATATCAGGTACCATTGAGCTTGCGTCATGGAAACAGCAGTAGTGACTGGTCACTTAGCCACTTGTATACCATCTGTTTACTCATCACATGCATTGCTCCAAACTAGGCATGGAAATACACTTCATTTTGCCCAACAGTAGGTCACCCAAAGGTAAAGAAGGAAACAAGGAGAGAACTTGGAGAGATTGTAATAGAAAAAGCTGAGGAGACTCAGTGCAGGCATCATTTTCAGTGACTCTTCAGCTTGTATGGTTTAAACATTTAAAATGTTTAAATACATGCCTCAAGCATTTTTAAAACTAGAGTACTATAGAAAATAGACTGTCAGGAAGAGAGGTAGCAGAAGCATTAGACAGATAACAGGATGTGTGTGAGTATACCCCTGTTTTTTAAGAAACCCTTGACTCTTGTTCCTGAGTAGATTAAGTAAGTACAGAATTATATGCAGCACTAGCGAATTAGGCTTCTGACCTGCCTGCAGTATTTTTTGCTCTACTCAGTATGCCATCTATTCTTTTATATTTTGCTATAAGACACATCCCTTTGATTCTATAACATGCTCACCTTGAGATTAGTACAGTAAAAATTGTATCTTGGGAGGGAACTTGCTAAAACTACAAATAGAGAATAAAAACCACTGGTGCTAGAAACCAGCTCTTTCAAGAGGCAATCTGATACTGCATGAATCTGGAAAATGTTAAGGCACCAGGACTTCTCTGAGCCTTAACTCAATTGGTTTCTGTTTTGAGGCATTTGCAACCCTTTCTTGTATAGTGGGTGCTGGAGAAATTTAGGGATGTTGTCACTGCTCAGTCTGAAGCAATTCCCAGTAATTTTTTCATCTCAGTTCTTTTAAGGTTAATTTGAGTAACAGTCTTGATCTGATAATAAGGATAGATGCTTAGTGCTGTGGTAAAAATGGTTCTTTAGGTACTGCTGTTTTCAGATATATAGGTTTCAAATAAGATGCAGTTTGAAGCAGGTGGTGTCTTTTGGAATCCCAGACAACCCATTATGGGGGTTGGTGTTATTTCTTAAAAATCATACCTTTTTTTTATTAAAGTACATATTTTAGATCTTTTTGGTCTTTCTTAAAATGATCCAGATTGCTTTTTCTTATTCCCTCCACCATCTCTAATATTTTACAGGCTCTGTGGTGTCCAGGTACACTTACTAAGGAATTTTTCTTAGGTATTTTATTAAGGTACATTTTTTAAGGAATCACAGAATTTTTCTTTTTGCATTAATTTCTAACACATTTTCTTTTTCCTTAAAGAGGAGGTGCGTGCATGTGGCATCTCTTCTAAAATTCATGCCTAGAGAGTCCTCTCTCTTCCTCTGTTCCAGTTTCTCTTCTACTGTCTTCTAACTACCTCAGGATGTTCCTTTCTATCTTTGGATAAGCCACTGCTCAGTGGCTGTGCCCCTAAAGAGTGTCAGTGGTTCAGGTTACAGCCAGCCCATTGTCATTAGGGTCTTCCCCTTGAACAGGCACTCATGCAGATTTCTGACTGTTATTACAAGTGTGGTTTCCCATTTTGAAAAGACTGTAATGTTTTCCCAGTCTTGTATTGTGAATAGAATTGCTTCCCTGCCCAGTAATTAAACAATATTAATAAGAATGCCTGTTATGTATTTTTGAGTATTTTTAACTAGATGGTTTTGTTTGGTTTATTTTTAAGAAGTTTTGCAAAACACTTTCAAATCACTAGAACTGGTCAAAGCAGTGAGACTGGAAATGGATATATAGATGAGATATTGGTGTTTTCTCTCTAAACTTGTACTGTTCTGTGAATAGTATTTAACAATTACTAGAATACAATAGAAATGCATTGTCATCAAAGTATACTTTTCAGTGTTCATTGTGAAGTATAAAATATTTGAAAGTTAATGTTAACGGGTGAACCAAACCTTACCTTTTCCTCTTTGCTTTCAAACAGCCCTGAAAAAACAGAAAGTGTGAAAATAAACGTGGAAGATTCACCTGTTGTGAAATACGTGGATGCCGAAACATCTTTGTAGAAGTGAACCAAGGGGAATTGCGTGTATTTGTGTGTGTATATATATAGCTGTAGGATATTATACCGTCGTCATATATTTAATTCTGCTATTGTCTAGGGCACTGTAGATATGCTTGCATAATGAGAAGGTTTTTCTACAAATGAGTGGTAATCACACTTCAGCTATTTATTTTATTGGAAATTTTATTTTCTTTTTTAAATAGGAAGATTGTATTGAATGCGTATTTTTTTCAATAATCAGTATGTGCATAGAAGTTAAATCAGCTTTTGCTGATGATTACTGGTCCACATTGCTTAAAATTTTGCAGTACCTCTGTTTATAATGTGTGCTACAGAAGTTTGTTCTCCATGCAGGCAGTTACTGCTTTTTTTGCAGGGTATACTTTTTTTGTGATTTCATAGAACAAATACTAATGTGCTGTTGACAAGAACTACTGTGTTTTATGTCTCTACTACATGCTAGTGTTTTCTGGATTCTGTCTGTCCTGTTTTACAGAAGTGGCCTAGAGCCCTAAGTCAGGTTAGTTAAGCCTTAAGATATATATATATAAATGCCCTCTTCCACTACTTTTTCTTCCTTTTAAATTCACTCTTGGTTTCTCATTATTATCCAGTAGCGGAATGAGTGCAGTAATTGTAGTTACAGTCCCAAGTCAGTATTTATCATTCTGGACACTCCATGTTTACATGATACAGACAGCAATTTGGTCTCTAGGAAGTTACACAGGCTTACCACACTAGTTCTCTTAGAGTCTTCTGTTCCTGTTGGTACTTGTTTTTTCCATAAGAGGTTGATTTACTCAACTCTGAGACTGAAAACTTGGAGTATTTCATGTGCTTATCAAATAGATTTCTTATTTTTTAATTTTATTGTGTATTTTACTAAATTACGTTAGTTTAATTCTGTAATAAGTTTATGATCAGTATTATTTTATGGATTAGAAATTGCTTGTGGTATTTGTGTGTAAAGTTCTGATCTTCTCCATTGTAAAGGGCATATATGATAGCACACCAACTTATTTTTTAAACATTTTATTTATTTTAATTAGTGTAAACTTTTATCCTGTAAGATGGAAAAGTAAATATTCATTTATTAAAATAAATGGGATTGAGGGCTCACTGATAAAGATGCAGTTGTACTTGCATTTTCAGTTTCTAGTGTTCAGCATTATATTTGAAATAATGAGAATTTTATGTATAAACAAAAATCTTGATCAATTACCTGTGCAGTTTCCATTATTAATAGTTTTTTGCCTTACACTTTAGTTTTTTTTGCTTTAATTTTTGAAATGATTTATTTTACATTCTGAATTGCCACATAGTGGCTTTAATTCGAATCTGTGCTCATTTAAAATGAAGATACTGTTTGCTTAATTCTGCTTTTGGCAGAGTTGGGAATTTTATTGTGGGCCACATGATTAAATTCTCAACAACTGAAAAAGGAGCTGATTCTGGAGGAGGGCAGAGTTCATCTGAAAATGCCACTTGAGGTGGAAGACAATTGGATTTTACAAAAATAAAACAATCAAAGTAAGTAGAAACATTTAAAGATAGCATTTAAGTTACACAGACTGGTACCATTCCCTTTCAATGTAATATAATTAAGGTTTTTCTTTTTTACTTTTCCTTTTTTTATTTGGTTAAATTCTGAGAGGACAGCTTAAAGAAAGTAAATTATAGTGTTCAGCAATATGAATAATGGTATCCAGACTGTTACAACAAAGGCTCAGGTCAATGGCAAAGCAAGTCAGGTCCGCATTACCAATTTCACCAGTCCTGTTTAAGGATCTGTATAGATGTTCCTTCATTCTTAGATGATAGCGTAGCTTGTGCCTTGGCTTAAGTATGTGCTTTCAGAAAACACCCGTGTTTTCCCTCTATTCAAACTGAGATTCAGTGAAACTAGCAGATGGTTTCCCAAAACTTTCTGCATTATTTAAAACCAAACAAAAAACCAACCAACCAAAACCCAAACCCAAACAAGCACAACTTGAAACAAATATCCCAAAAAACAAATGAAACAAAAATGCTACAAAACAAACAAACCACATCTGCAGGTCAGTTGTTGACTACTGAGTAGCTTTTGCTGAATCAAAGAGGGAAGATACTTCGGGCAATTTATGTAGTGCTGTCCACAACACATTACTTTTGTTCTAGTCCTTCCAGTACTGTTTTACACTTCATGTATACAGTCCTGTAACAATTTCTAAATACCCCAAAAATGACTGTAAGCCTCTTCGATTTTTAACTTTAATGTCTGGAATCAGGGTTCCCTGGTGCTGCACACATTGTATCTGGCTTCTGCTTCAGAAGGGTTAAGTGCTGGTCAATATTACAGGAAGTAGATATTTTTCTAGGAACTCTGAATAGAAAAAAAAACAACAAAACAAACAAACAACAACAAAAAAAAAACAAAACCAAGCCAAAGCCCTACAAGTCTAATCACAGTATTTATTTAATTTTGTATAGATATTTTATCAGTGCCAGAAATACCATGACTTGCAAAGCAGTTTACAGTGACCTTTAGTTCTGCTGTTCTTGGTCAGTAGTATGTTACAGTTGCACTTTTCCCCCTGTATAAATAGGAGAAGATCTGGTATGAAGTGCGTAATTAATTTATGATTGACTTGCTGCTCATTTTACACCTTCTCTGCTTTAAAATCACACATAGTATTAAACAGCTAAGGATGTAGTTTACAGTAGGTAATGTTTGTTTTGCCTTAATAGATGCAAAACTGCAGTGATAATTGCTGTGCACTGATTGTTTTTTCATAGGGGTTAAGCCCTGTATAAACTATGCCAATATATTTCCACTCCAACTGTTAGAGGAAAATAAACAGCCCTGCACTTTCTTTAGATGCCTTGATTTCCCGGAATGGAGCATAGTGCTACTGTGTGTCTGGCTGCAGAGCCTCCTCAGGAAGTCCCTCTTTTTCTCTCTCCTTTGTTTTTTTTTCTTTTCCTTTTTCTAATTTATTTATAAATATAAATGTTTACATAAAGTGTAGGTCTTAACCTTGACCACTCCATTTAAATTATCGTCTAAAATATTTCACTTAAAATGCATTCTCATGTTTAAATTATATTCTACAGAACTCATTTGTAGTGTTTTCATATGTATTACAGTGACACACTTTTCATTCTGTTTACATATGCCCAAATTAATTACACTTTCTCCTAGATTAATTTCGCAGCTACAACACAATATCTTCTGTGATTGTTCAGTGAAGTGTTCCAAATTGCCAAGTTTGTCATCACAAAACCTGTTAGGGTAGAGTTTGGTGCCCCACTGGGGTTTTTCTTTGTCTTGGCTACTTTTTGCTACATTTAATGGCAGTTCTCCTGTAAGTTGTTGCTTCTTCTCCCTCTTTACGTTGTCACTTCCTAATCTGTGCCCTTTGCAAAGGCAGGTTTGAAAGGCTGTAAATTGGGTCTGTAACACATAGGTGTCCTGTTGCAGAGCCTGCACTTTTCTAAAGGGTTCTGTTGTACATACATTCTGTGCAGCCTGAGATGAGCGGTTCATGACTACAGTTCATCAGTGTAGTCTGTTAGATGAGTACCACCATGACCTTAGTTTTCCTTTTGCTTTATATGATTAGTAATGTTTTAATTACTCATCTAGGTCAAATAATCATCAAGTACAGTACCGGTGTGTGAAATAACTTTGTTTATATCAACAGTAATTTATTGTACAGCAAATTTTAAGACTAGAGGCACACGGCTTTGAGTCAGCGTAAAAGTAGTGCTATAAATAAAGCAAATCGTTTAATGATTTTGAGTTGATTTTATTTTGTATCATTTAGTGAAAACTCATTGGACTTTGTACTTGGCATTGAAGTTAATCTAAAGACACTTTCATATTGAATTTAGTAACTTGACGTTTATTTGGAATAATGAGTTTGAAAATCAGTACTTTTCTAAATGATTTTATTGGCAAGACACATCATTTATACTGTTTTTCTTTCTCCTGTTGCTGATTCTCCTGAGTAAAGGTGTCTTCCAGGGTTCAGCGTCTGTAGCTGAACTGCATCTTTGATTTTAATACTGATTATTTGAAATGTGATTACATACTGTACGGTTCGAAGTTTTTATGACTGCTTTTCTAAATACAGTGATGTTTTCTTACTTCACAACAAAACCCAAAGCAGCTGAAAACATCACTCCGAACGCAAAATCAACATTAAAAGTTTATACAGGAAAAACGCAGCTCTCAGACTTGTCTTCAATGTGAAAGATCCAGCCTTTGTTGTTTTAATTACTGCTAGAATAAAATTATCTTTTGTAATATTTCACAAAGTCGGTAAAAGCAATAAAAATCTACTGAACTATATGAAGGTTGTGACTGGTTTTGGTTTAGGCAGGTTATATGCTAGGTGGGTGCTGTGGGGAGCAGTACGGGAGGCGGCCTCTGCGAGTAGTGCGGCGGCCGCTCTAGCTCGTTCTTATGGCAACGGCTGCCGCTATCGCTAGGACACGGCGTCTCTGTAGAACACGGAGGCATGCGATTGGCCGACGAGGCCATCTCTTCGAAGAACACGGGCTGCAATTGGCCCGCGGGGCGCGGTTTAGCTCCGGCGGTCGGAGCTGTGCCGCAGCCAGGCGCGGAGCAGGGCGAGCCGAGTGAGTGGGAGGGGCGAGGGGTCGGGGGGCCCTGGGAGGGGCCGCAGCGCCTGCGGCAGGTAAACCCACCGCGGGAGGGGAGGGGGGGCCGAAGGGGGTGGGAAGGTCAGGCTGCTGTGTTTGCATCGTGTCGGTGCCCTGTCGCGGAGTTACCGGGTAGTCACATACTCCAGCCGTGGGAAGGTTTCAGAGTCCGTGTTAAAGAAGTCAAAGCATAACGTTAGCGTTTAGGAAGGTACGTAAGCGTGCACGTTGGTATAAAACACTTCGTGGAACCCAAGTGCTGAGTCAGGCCTGCTTAGTCACGGATAAGGTGTGGTAACTCCAGGGCATCTCTCTGCTTCTAAATGATGCCCTGTTGGTACAGTGTGCCACTTGCCAACTCAGAGTGCATCTCAGCCCGGATCTCACCCAGCAAACTCGGAGTAGTGTCTCTAAAATAACGGTTGCTTTGTCCCTATCTCTCCCCCACACCTAGTGACATCTTCCCCAGCCCTGCACCTTTGCCAGCTATTAAACAGCCCTTTTGATTTCCAGAGCCTCTAAGCCATAGTGGTACAATTCGCTAGAAAGGTCTGCCTGGTGGCAAGGGCAGAAAGGATGGATTTCACAGAGCTATGTATTATGCTTAAGTTGCCACAGAGCTGCTCAGTAGACCTCAGAAATCCCCTTCCCCCCCCCCCCCCCCTTCCGTACATCTGTGAACTGCAGGCTAACAGGGTGAATTTGGGCAGATTGAAAGTTGTTTAGGCAGATAAAAGTTAAGGTCTGGAAAATAGCCTAGAGAGTTACATTGCATGGCTCCAGGAATCTGGGAATGGGCCTGGCTATTTGTGGCTCCACAGGAACTGGGGTGGTGTAGAGGGAAAACAAAACAAAATAAGCCCCAAGCCAACAGTGACTTGAGTATTTTAATTTGTTAGGAAAACAGAAATCTTCTGTTTGACCCTAGTTAATCCTGAGAGAATATTCAAGGAAGTTACCTCAAATTTAATTTTCTTCAATAAATTTGTGCATGTGGAAGATTTCCATAGTGATTCAGTCAATAAAATGAGTAAGAAATATTCTTCAAACATTGTGTGGGTTCTTCAGTAGAATTTCTTAGACATGGGCTGTCACCAGTTCTGGCTGCTGTGCTCTCTGGGAACAAGAAGGGAAGTGGTCCAGGGTTCCCTTTGCTTTCATCAGACTGGAGAAGGAAAAATACCTTTTGGGAACTTTTCATCATCTCTGATGCTTCTTTTACCATCATTTTGGGAGTATTTGAAATGCATTTCTATTTTGATGATATTATACTGATAATACAATGGAATGAATTTTTGTCTGACTTCGCTCCCAGCTTATGGTATTAGATACATTCCTTTCTAGCAACAGCATCAAAAGTCTGATTAAAGCCAAGATCTAGCATATCTACTGCTTCTTTATCCACTTTAAGCCAGTTAACCTTCTATGTATAATTATGTAGTGGAATTTAGGCACTGGAGGGATTAAGAGAGGAATTCAAGGGTAAAACAAGCAACTAGTTGGCTTACAAATGCCCATATCCAGTACTTATTGCTAATAAAGATTATAAAGGCTGTAAGACATCTTTTCGTTTACGGGAGTTTCAAACCGTTACACTATAGTTTGTGGTGGTAGATTTACCCTCCAACATATCTTTCTGCTTTTATTTATTTTGGGTTTTTTTGTTTTCCACCTTCTGAAGCTTTATGTGCTTGTGTCATCTGAGACAGCCACTAGGCTGGGCCACAGATCAAGTCTGTGGTGGTAATTCCTTTGTCTCCTGTTTCTCATCATAGGAATTCTTTCATTTCTGACAGGGTTCTTGGAGCATTTCTTGTCCTGTCCTGCATACCAGAACTATCAGAATGCATCTTTCTTTCTATGTAATTGAATTAACATAACCAATTAAATGAAATTATCCCCAGTTAAGATGAATTAGTTAATATTACTCTCATTTTATTGTTTTAAATGGAATTGAATAAGAGTTTATGATGTAAAGCCATTTTCCTTTCAATGTGTTTCTTTTCTTTTAAAGTTTTGTCTGATCTCAATCATTTTCTGGCACAACCTAAGTGAAATGTGAGTGTTGTTTGGTTTGTTTCTTATACATTACTCATGGCTGGTTTAATAGTTGGGGGAGAATTATGAGGGTAGTTAATAGCCTGGCTCCGTGGAAATTTCTGCTGGCACAAGTAAAGAAGAAACACAGGGCTGGGAACTTATTCAGTGATTTCAAGTAAGTCAAATAACTGTGGGAATAGGTAAGGAAATATTTAATGTCTGGTTTCTCTCAGGTTTATGGCTGATACAGGGAAAACAGGGGGTTGTTTCCTTTTGTCTGCCCCTCATTGGGGTGTGGTGCTAATACATGTACCTGATTTAATGACTGGCTACTGATGAAAGGGTTTTCTGCTCTTCTTCCTCTTATTTACAGCGGTGCATTCCTGCTCCTTGCCTTGTCAGCAGAGATACGCATCAGGCCACACTAAAGTGATCTCAATTGGTAGAAAACTGACTCTACAAAGGGAGGCACGTTGTTTTCTGCCTAAGCTGGCTCAGGTTCGGGTCAAATCAGCTGAAGAAATGGCAGGTAGTGCCTGAGGATGGTAAGGGAAAGGAAAGGGGAAAGGATTTGTTGTTTTCACCAGCAGCTGCCTGTTGATAGATAGGTTTATCTCTGTAATAAAGCTGAAGGGCAAAACACTAAGGTGCATGGATAAATGCTTCTTTCTGCTTATTGTCCCTGCCCTTGTACAGTAGAACTACTTGGGGACAAGCTGTAAAGTAATCAGGATTAAAGTAGGAGAGATTATTTGTAACCTGAATCAGGTTTCCCAATCCAGTGAGCTGTGCTCCTGTGGTGACACTGTGCTGATGGACCAAAGAGGTTGTGCATATTCCACCTGTGGCCAGGGCTGGCCTCTCTCTGTCAAAGTTCTTCCTGAGATGTGCTGGAGCTTCTAGGAAACAGAAAGGTAGCCTCAGGATAAGTCCTCAGAGCAGGGTGAGGACTGCATCCTTGTGTCAACTGCATCCCTTCATCCTCAGGTAGAATGAAGAGAATTTGCCTTGGTGTTTGTCAGGTTCAATTGTGTACAGGGACATTGGGATCTGTAATGACAAAGAACCTTTACAATATTAGTCTTTTACTCTGTTTCATCTTTACCAAGATACTGCAAAGAGCAAAAGCATTAGACTTGCAGCCCTAAAACAAGGTTGGCCTATAGCTATGAGATGTTGTAAATAATCATAAAGACCTAACAGTTTTGGATTAAACTGTAGCCAGACTGGGAATCCTGCTGTTAATGGTTTAGAGGTTTCACCCAAGGATTATTTGTTTGTTCTTTCTTTTTAAATTTGATGCTGAAAATTTTTAGACTTGACTATATTTGCTCATAGGCACATTGTTTTGTATGTGATCTTCATGATTCTTTAACTGGCTGAAATCTGTTCTTTATACACATGAGCAAGTTGATAATTTGTGAGTTTCACAATATCTTTTAGTGTGCAAATGTGAAGTGATTGGATTGTGTCATGTGTCAGTAATATGCCAAATGGTTTGGGTTAGTAAGGCAGAGGATATGAAATACACATATCACTAAAACAATACATGGATTTTCTTAGTCTTGGATTCTTAAACATACTTAGCAACGTACATGTCTTCTCTTTCACCACTTTTGAAGCAAAGGAAATAAATTAGCATCATTTGCTTTAATCTGAACTGACTGGCAGAACCTTATTTATATTAATTCCCTATGATAACTGGTACAACAGAAGTGTTCTGAGGTGTTTTTTAATAACCCTGTTATTGTGGGTGCATGGAGAAGAGGGGAGGAATTTCTTGGGAATCATTCCTGTGGAGGGACTGCTGGTAGGATAAAGGCTAGTGCAGTAGAATAGGCATGGATAAACAGGGCTTACAGGCCACTTCTCGGAGTCAACACTGTGCATGAGTTCATACTGTTAACAGTTTCATTCTGGGTAGTCCTGTGTCTGAGATAAGAACCTGTAATTGGGAAAATAACTCTTGATTTTCAGTTGGGAAGCAGCAGCTTCTGGTACTTTACCATGCTTTTGTTTTCTTCCACGTTTTGTTCTTTTTTGCCTTTATGAGGAAAAGGAATAAAAATCACTAGCAGAGGAATTCCACACGGCACAAAGAGAAAAGGAAACTATCGCATTTCATACAGAAAATCCTATTAAAGTCACACCAAAGGGAACATTCATATGGTCCATGTTTAGCCAATAGTAAGATGGGTAGAAAGGATCTGTCAGTGGTATTTTATCACAAAATAATCACAAATTATATCTATCTTTTTTTAATTGGAGGTGCTCTACCAATATGCTGCAGCTGTATGCAGTTCTCTGGGAGAATTCTTCAGTCTCAGACTGCTCCTGACCATCCTTTTTTCACTCAGAGCAGGATCTACATCAATGCATCTGCTTTTGTGGAAGCAAGAGATTTCTCTTGACTGCCCTCTATGTCTTTCTATTTCTTTCTAGGGCTTTATAAGATTTTCAGTGAACAAATGTTTTATACTATGCAAACAACCATCTCTGGCCTTTGGTGGGAAGTCAGACCTACAATTAAATGTTTGTCTGCAGTGGATCTGATATGCAATAATGATCTTGATGAGGCTGGGCCATACAGCTTTGCTCATATGTGGAAATAAGCTGTGTGTCCCACTGCAGGAATAGCTGGGCACTGTTGGTATAAGGCATTCACCTGAAAGTCAGAAGACCCAGATTCCAAATGACTGAAAATTTGTGTGGTTCTTTGATAGACCACATGATGTATTAATCTCTTTTGTTTTTACCCTTCATCTGTCTTGTTTATTTAGATGAGAAAACTATTCTCTGTTGTCTGGACAGCAGCATGTATGACACAACCTTGATGTCAGCCTGTAAGCACTGCTGCAGCATAGCCAATCCACAGTGAGAAATAATGGTAATAAGATGGAAGAAGAAGAAGCATCCTTATAAAGAACACATACAGTAAAAAGAAAGGCAGTATTATCTACTTATTTTTTGGGACACCAAGGTTTCTGTTTGACAGCTTAATTATTTTCTTGTAAATATCTGGAATTCTAAAGGATATCCTCATATAATGTCCAAGGGTTCATGTTAAGAAAATGATAAAGATGTTTTCTTCTTAAAGTTATATCAGTTGGTTCTGTAAGTAAAACATGTTGCTTTGGCTGCAATGATACAATTCTATCTCTTTTTTTTCTTAGGAAATGAGTTCTTAGCCACGTGATGGTAATAGTGATACACAATGCCTGATCAGGACAAAAAGCTGAAGACCACAGAAAAAGCGGCAGAGAAAAAACCTCATGGGATCTCTGTGAGGTAAAGTATCTGACATCTTACTTTGAACTTCAGCAGGACCCAAGTGGAATTTGCACTAGCTGCCAAAGCAGAATGCTTAATTTGAAATGCAGTATAAACATGACAACTGTTACTCTGGTCACAAAGTTTATTTACACATTTGTTGATTTAAGGCATTCTGGAGAAGCTCTAAATTCTTCTGTATGTAAAACGGGGCCACTAGGCAACACCCGAAAACTTTCTGTCAGTAGCATTGCTGCTCATTAACTTTCTTTACACTTACAGAACTACTTTTATGTGACTATTAACACATGTATTTATGCTATTGTGTTTCTAGGGATTATTCTGATCTTAAAAGACTTCAGTCTCTCTTAAATGTGCAGTTAAGGAATCAACAGGTATTTTCTAATAACTATTATTAAATGCTGTAGAATTGTATAATTAAAATAAGATACTATTATTGTGTTCTATTGTGATTAGACATATTGACAAAATCTTGTGTAGCGAATGTCTTTTTTTTTTTCCAAAGTTATTGCTTCTCTGTTGGACAAATCCCATTTAAAAAGTGTGAAAGAAAGAAACTGACCTGCAGCCCATCCTACTCTGCTATAATTTTTATTTTAACAGAAAAAAATTGCTTTGTTTTGAATCTTGAGCAGGTTTTATCCAGCTATTGTTGCATATAGTCAAATAGCCTAACAGATTAGTTTTCTTCCATGCCCTTCCACAGCTTCATGAGAAGGTAGGCTGAGATATGTTAGTTACAACATGATGAAGAGTGGTAAAGAATGTCAAATAAGATCAACATTTTAACAATAAACAGTTTGTCTTTGGAGAAAAACACTCCAGATAAAAACCTTTGGCATAAATATCAGTGCATGAAACTTACAGGACACAGTAGTCTCTTTCACCTCAGCTCGCGTAGTGAATCTTGTATTTGCCATTTGAAGCAGAGAAAACCAATGCATGATGATGGGTGGGAGTCTTTGGGCTACCAGAACGTTTTCTCCCTTTCTAATCTGTAAAAGGTATGACAAGATGACTTAGGAGTTCAGCTGTGTGAGACGGGAGTTATGCACTCCCTTCTTGGGTAGAGGCATGGAATTGCTTCTTAGCAGTAAGCTGAAATGCTTGAGTTTTACAGCCTAAAAAGAATATGAAGGCTGTGCAATTGTAGAAATAGGACTGGTAAGGAGCACAGATAATGAGCATGTGTTGCAGATTCTATTGAGCTTTACTATTGTAAATTTTAAAAGACACTTGTTCACATGTTATATATCTCGTTTTCTAGCCTTACTCATCAGTTTTCTACCGCATGACTTTTATTTTGCGGGGGGTGATGGGATGTATTTTATAATGTCAAGTAATAGGTCCAAAGTCCAAGTCAGACCTTGAGAAAAGGTACTTTTGCTTGATAACATTCTTATAAAACTTAAAAAGCAGTGTTTGCCTCATGAGCAGTATCCCTTTCCTCCTTAGCTTCCAGCTATACATTTTGAAAACGGTCGAACCAGTGTGACAAGAGCTTGGCAGAATGTTAAAATCAATGAACAAAACCCTCATGGTCAATGGCAAGAATCAACAGAAGCTGTTGAGCTTGAAAACTTTAGGTAAAAAAAATAAAAAGCTAACATGATGGCACTTGTATTTCTGAACATCTTCATGTGTCTAAAGGTTGTTGCAGTGTTGAAGGCCTTTATACTTAGGTATGTTATTTCTACTTTCATGTTAACCCACTATCTGAGATATGAATTGCACATTTTTAACTTTCTAAATCTAACTGTGGGTGTTCCTGCCTTTGTCAGCTTTGTGTACTGTTGAGAGCTAGTATAGTAAATTTTTAAAAAGTAATAGTTTCCTTATTTGGAAAGTTTGTATTATACCATTATAATAGTCCCAAGTTAGGCACAAGGTAGAACATTCTTCTATACTGTTAATGTCATGAAATCTGAAATGGTTTATTCCTTAGGAACTTATAACATTCCTAACATTGCTAATGTCAAGTTTTGGCAATCTACAGTCATCTTGTGGCAAGATAATGAGCAATTCAGCATTTTTTCCTCCTTTAAATCCTCCTTAGTGTGACCTACAAGAATGAGAGGAATTTTAGCAAACATCCCAGCCATAAGCTGTTTCAAGAGATCTTTACATCTTTGGTGAAGAACCGACTTATCAGCAGGTCAGTATATTGAAAACATTATTATACAAGGAGAGTCACTCTTTCTTGCCAAGATGCATGGATAATGTTCCATACAGTTTCAACAATGTATGTGGCATATATGTTTCAACACTAGACCTCTGTATGGAAACTACCAGTTTCAGGTTTCTGCATAATCTCAGTTTTATACAGTCACTTTCGCCTTGCCTTAGAAGACCAAATGCTCGGTCTTTGGAAGAAGGGAAGAAGGAAGGAAGGACTGGCTATATGGTGAAACTTGGATGACTGAAATTCCAACAGCTGCTATGTTTCCTTGATAATTTGTCTATATCTGGTATTTATAGTCTGTGGTTTGCTTTTCGAATTTAATTTTTATTTTACTGATTTTATTAGGGACTGCTGTCTTTATATAGAAAGTGGCTCTCAAAATTCAGATAAGTTTATGCTACTGTTAATTTTGTGTTTGTGTGTATAACAGGATTAGAAAGGGAAAACCCTTTCTTAGCTATTCTCATTTGAACAGAAAAAAGTGAAGACCTTAAAAAAATAGTGCAGACAGAAAAAGGCATTTTCTGGGAAAAAACAAAACAAACAACAACCATAGAATTTCTTTTCCTACACACCAGTGTGTTGTATTTTTCCTTTTTAAGCCCAAACACACCTAAAAACCATCCCAAATGGTACAGAAGCTTAAGGAAGCAATCCTGGAGCATTTAAAGGTATTAAAGTGTAACTGCCAGAATTTACAGAACCACCTAAAAACCCCCACAAAACACATAGTTTACTTAGACCCTTTTCCAGAACTAACTAGGGAACTACGGATCTTTGATTACCTAATTAGCAGTGAGTTTAAGTGACTTATAAATCTGGTACCTCTTTTTTGCAACTGAGCTTTGTCATCTCAGTACCCACTAATGGGATGTCTGTGTCTCAGCTTGATTTGCAAAAACCCTAAGAATTCACACTGTGTCCTCCCAAGTTCTATTTATACATTGTGGCATACCTAGCTCATATTTTGGTTTTTATTTTCTTTGGCGCTTGCTGTTGATGATGGTGATACAGCAAAACTAGCCTCTTGTCTTACAAATCAAAGCGCTTGGGTAAGATCAGAGAAACAAATACATATTAGTAGGCATGTAAAACCCATAAGGTAAGTGCAGTTACTAAGGTGATTTAGTTGCCCTTTGTAAATACTTTATTGTGATGATGTCCTTTCTTTGGAGATACTGCCATTGCATTGTGTCAGAGCCTGTGAAATTGTCACCTTATTTGCATTACATACTTCTGCTGGCATAACTGATGTTGATTGAGGTGCAAGAAAATCACACCCACTTACTGGCATTGCTGTGTCAGCAGAAGTCCTGACTGGTAAGAAAGCTGTGATCAGCTTAGCTTAAGTAGTTTGGATAAGGAATATAACTAAGCAGGCAGAAAAAATCCTGCTGGCATATGCTTTACATACACTGAGGTATCTATTAATGTAAGCGTAACTGTAGCAGAAGGGACTCACAAATAGCCATGCTCAGAAAATTACTGTCCCTGCTTGGAAATGTGACAGATGCATTGCTCTGTTAAAGAAACTAACTTCTGTCAAGAGTCAAAGCTTTTTGAAAGAATAAATTTGTAGAATCACTGTGGTAAGGATCTTCAGGCCACTTTAAAATCTGACCTACAAATTTTCCATACAGGTTGCTGTTTTCTTTCTGTGAAAGTTTTGCACCACTCTAAAGTGGCCAAGTAAGGAACCATACAAAAATGAAAAAAATATAGTATTATTTTGGGCAGCATATTGGCATAGAAGGGCCGATATTTTGTTAGCATGTATTTGTAAAGCATTTATTTTTATCACAATATTTTTAGCTATTGGCGTTGTTCCCAATTGCAAATGATAAAAATGGAAGAGAACTGCCACATCCCATAGACTTCTTCCAGTCCTTGGAAGCTCGCCCAGATACTACAGATTCTGTCCTCTTAGTTAAAACAACAGAAATAGTGCCACTGAGATATTTTATGTTTATTTTAAATAGGAAAATGGGGCTATACACCTTCAAGAGACAATGGAAGTAGCGATTCTGCTACTGGTATTTTATGCAGGTTTACTGCCCCTGGATGCTTTGTGCAAATCTGAGTTGTGTTTTCTGCCAAGGCTTGTGCTGAGGAATTGTGTGGAGAAATATAAAGGAGGAAGTTTTATTTGGAAGCATAATACCATACCAAGGGCATTTGAACTAAATAAATTATTCCAAGGACTAATAGTATTAGTTTTTAATTGCCCAGGATAGATTGCAGTAATTAAACAGAATATTTCATATCTCGCTATTTTTATTTCTGTAGAACCCATATTTGTATGTACGTGTATTTTGGGCACTGAAGTTTGATATGTGGTTTCTTGGTGATTTTGCCTTTTTGTGCGCTGGTCCAAACACTTAAAGTAAGTTTATATCAAAGCATGATATCAGTTTGTGCATGTACTTTCCTGAATCAGGTCACTGACAATAAATGATGGCCTGGCAATGGTCATATAATGAAATAAGTTTATTTAAAGCTGTTACTGTGTTTCAATATAAGTGGTATTAAAAGTTCTGTAGTATAGTATGTTGTACTATACTATAGTAGAACTGTTGTAGGTCACTTACCTTCTAGTCAATTCCTGAAATCAAAGTGTTTTTTGACATGTTTTAACACTTAAAATGCATTTGGTTTACTCATGGAATATTTCTTTTACAGGGAATGGGTTAATCAAGCTTCGTCCATCCATTTTCTTAGAGTATTAATCTGTCTGAGATTATTAATAAGGGATCCATGCTATCAGGTCAGTATACCAAAATACTGTTTCTTGCTTGGATAAAGGAATGCACATAAGCATCATGCATGTGACTTGTGTTGTTGCATGTGTATAAAAATGTATGTTCTTATATGCATGTACCTATATTTCTATATGTGAGGATGTGATTTGCAAAGATTACAAGAGTGAATTTGCACTGTTAGTGAATAACTTGCTCGAGTTCTTATATTCCTCATGTAGGGTCTGTTGTTGCTAATCTTAACAAAGAACCTGTAAATCTCTATAACAGATGGCTTGGTCGTTGCTTTGAGCCTTAAACCCTGTGCTTGACTTTAACATGTACATATGTAAAATTCCCATAATATAGTAAGTTAAGAAAACTGAAAGCTGCCTATTCCTCCTAGCTGCCTGATGTTCTTAACTAAAACCAAATAGCTTTCAATTTTATTCTGGCTATTATATTCACTATTCATAGGACTAAGCCTCAGACATCTGTTAAGATATTTGTGTATTTTTTTTCTGTGTTCCAAAGCTTATACTGTTTTTCCAGTTTTAAAACCTTTAAAACTTCACTTCTGTGTTTTAATTTGTCTATGTATTCTAAAATATTCTGAACTCTGAAGGTGCTACATATCTCCAGAATTCATTGACTTCAACCACTGGAATTAAGTTTTCTCAACATCCATAACAAACAGAGCATTTATGTTCTAGTGTTCTTTCATTCTAGTGTTTTCTTTATTTTTGCCTTTAAAAAATTTTTTTAAAATGTTTTTTCTTTTTTATTAGGAAATGCTCCACAGCTTGGGTGCTATTGAAAATCTAGCTGAGGTAGAGTTCCTTATAGTGCTTTTGTCCGATATGTTGCATGTCAGATCATTACAGTGTACATTAATTCTTGGTTTATGGAAAGAAGTGAGTCCATTCCTCTGCACATAATCAGTTGATGTGGGGGTTTTCTTTTCACTAGTGTACAAAGAAACTGTCCTTATAATATAGCAGTATTAACCCAGGTCTTTTAGTTAAGAGACTTAAATCCCTCCTGAAGTGGGAGGAGAATTAGAAAAATCAGCACAATTGTTTCAATCAGGAGAAAAGAATGAGTAAGGTCACCTTGAACTGTAGCAAATGATTCTTCAAAAGTAAAAGTGTAGTGATATAATGTTGAAACAGGTTTAAATTTGGGGACTACAGCACTTTTGCATTACGAATCATGATTGTTACTGCTCTGTGTTAATACTGCTTTACTTCTTGGTTTCTAATACTTATCAGTGCCAAGTTAGCAGTGAGATTTGACATATCATGAATATCTGAAATTCTTTGGAGTTTTCTTTCTAGAAAAAAATTATTTGCTATAATCTTTATAACAAATGTGTCACTCTAGAATGTAGTCATCAGTCAATATTTATGAAGCCACCTGTATTTAAGAGAACCCATAATGCATTTTCAGCCCTTTGGTCAGATAGTCACCTGTTTGAAACATCCCTAAAGTTGCAGGAGTTAAAGGTTGCTAGTTTGCAATGGATATGGTTCCCACAGGAACTGCTTGGCATTTCCAATGTCGCATGTCATTAATGGTTAGTCATACTTTTTGAGGAGCTTGCAGACTGCAAAATGCAGCGGCCTGCTGAGACATTGGCAACATCTGCAAGTGTCATCCCCAGCAGCAGGAACCGAAATTGTGTAATTTATAATCATTTTTACTATGCATGTTGCTGGCATAGAGAATTTAAAAAGACATGAGTTGCAATTTTTATGATTTGCAGACTTCTAGGGAACTTAATCTATTCTATGTAGCATTAAAACTTTATTTTTTTTTTTACTTTTTGAGCAGTTTCAGATGAAAAAAGCTGTTCTCATTTTAAAGTGTTTTGGGATGTTTTAGTAGAAAACACTAGTTATTACTACCAATATTACTTTGCATAGTAGTATCCAACTCCTGAGTTTTCTTTCTAAATTATGTGCTGCTGCTGTAGCTCTTGCCTCTCTGTACCATTTACTTGAAACTGTGGTAATTTCCCCAGTGTTCTGTAAATTTCAAAATGCCACCAAAAGTAAGAGCAACATATAAGTGATGCTGAAACTTACATAATGATTTTGTGCCCTAACAAACATGACATGCCTGTGGCAATTCTCATTTCCTGGAAAATATGTTTGACCAGGAAGTTCTTAGGGTTATTAAAAAAGAGTGACCACCATTTCCCACCAGTTAGCTATGTTCAAAATCACTGTTAGCTGTTCCAAACAGTGCCCAACAGTAGATGCTAAGGGAAAAGTCTGAGAGCAGAAACATGAAGTGATAATTTGCCAGAAAACTCTTATCAACCTGTAGCAGCTTGCAAAGAAGGGAATTTGGCCCTAGAAGTAGGGTCATTGTATTCGATAGTCTTCATTAGATCTCCCTCTTGTGGAATTTTACACTTGCTATTTGAATTCTCATGCTTCCTGATCTCTACTGTTCCCTGACAAGTTTTTACCTTTCTTTTTGTGAAACTGATGCATCACCTACAGGCTATTTCCGTGTATTACACTCCAGGTCTATGAATTCTTAAAACTTTGTTTTTTCCCCCCTACTCGTAGTATATGGAAACAGTAGCAAATGGCTATCTTGATTACGGAGAAGAGCAGCATAATGTAGACAAGTTGGTCAACATGACATGTAAGTGTTAAATTATAAGGACACTTAAAACTTTTTGTGTGAGGCTTAACAGGTTTAAAATACTTGAGATGGTCACTACATAGGAAGTTACTAGATTTACTGTAGACATCATCAAATGAGTGAAAACTGAAATTGCTGTGGAAAAGCACATCTTGGTTTTGTACATAAGAAGTATTTCTTTAAGAAATTACTGCCTTTTATGCACTGAAATAACAGAGTAAAATGAGCTGGTCATGGTTTGAAGAACTGATACAGTGTTTATTATTTGATTAGTAAAATGAAAAATATTAAGTGCTAAAACTTCAATTTATGTGACTTCCTTTGTTCCATAGACATTTTCCAAAAGCTTGCTGCTGTTAACAGTCAAAGAGAATGGGTTATGGCAAGCAGAGCACATAAAGTAAGTGTTTTATAAAATTCTAATTATAGCAAATTAACTACGTAACTGAGTGACTAATGCTTTTCAGACTTGATCTAGGTGAGAGTAAATTTCTTACCTTGTCAAGCTTGTAAAGTAAGGTAATCTCAGTTCTATGTTTTACAGAAATATGAGTAGTAATTGTTTCTTGTATGTAAGCTAATTGCCCTGATGTATGGTTATTGGTTGCTTGAGATAAATATATCATAAATGTTTGGACTAAACTCCTTCATATAAAAATTAGTACTCATATTTACACTGTCCTGAGCTACACATTACTATGATACAAATAGTTTCATATATTTTAAAAATAGAAACACATTTTTATTTTTACGTAGATTACTGCTATGATTTTTCAGTTATGAAGTGTTCTGTGTCCAAATGGAATAGTGACAACCTAGACATCCCTACACATTACTCAGTCTAAGGATCTGTACTTAACTGTTGCTGATTTACGGCCAAACTAAGAAACAATAGAGATGATAATCAGCTAACTAGTGCTTTGTGATTCCATTATTCTGCAGTAAAACATTTGCAGTTGTGATCAGATAGTAGCACAGAACATATTTTTAGAGAATCTAAACAAATATGAAGTTTACTTTTGTCCTGGGTTCAGCAGACAAAATATTGACAGAATATAATGCACAACCTTAAATTACATACAATATTGTTTAAATATAAGCTAAAAATTAACTTTTTGCTTCAGAAGGCCTTAATTTAGAGTTCCATAGTGTTTTACGCAAGAAGAAATTTTTACAATGGTACATTAAGTTGGACAGTCAAGGGAGATACTAATTGCATTTGAGAATAAACATCCTTGCTTGTCCTAAGACTGGGTGTGTTCCAAGAGTTTAAATGTATATTAAAGTGTACTTTATAAGTTCCTAAGATTTTTAGTATATTGTGCAACAATTTGGTGTCTTAATTTGACTTTTCAATAAATAGTTATTGTGTGCATGAGTAGTAAAAGGAAAGAATGTAATTTATATTTATTTATCTTGTTTCATGTTTCATTTTCCAGACCCTGGTAAATTTGTTATCTGCCAGAGACAGCAATGTGCTTTTAGGTGCCCTCCTTGCTCTGACTAGTCTAGCAGAAAGGTAGGTTCAACTCGTATGCTGTAGTTCACAATAAGCATTTTGATGTTATCTCTTGAACAATAGTAAAACTGCTGTTTCTGAGAAAGACTTTGTTTTTTTTTTCATTCCAAAATGTGGCCTTGTTCTGTGGAGATCTATGATAAGTGCTTAATTTTGTACTGATGTAATAAAGTGAAGTCTTCGCAGCAAATTTCTTGTTCATGTGGAGGACTTTTAAAAGGCTGGAGTCACACAACCTCTGTTTTCAATCCCTATGCAGGATTCTGGAATTCTTACCGACTTCCTGTATATAAAAATCTTTTATGCTGACCTTAATACAACAGTGCCTCAGAATAACCAGCAAGAATACTGTTCAGTATAGTAAATAATGAACGCATACACTCAAATCTGTGTATATGTATCCCCTGTTCACTAATGTTTATTTTTAAATAGAGAGTAGGACTTTTTTTTCCTGGTGTAGAGGGGAAAAATGTAAAAAGAAAATACAGCATCTTTCATTCTTAGCATTTTTATAGAAGTTACTGCTTCTGCATTATTGTGCTGCTGACTTCCAGATTTCTACAACAATTTTATCTTTTAAATGAAAAATTATAAGGAAAATTACAAAATTGAAGAGCATACATACAATTCCTTGAGATCAGTAGGAATTTATTTATGAGATTTCACTGGATTTTCTCATTTCCTAAATTTCTTTTATTCTACTAGAGTTCATTTTTTTAAAAAATGATGTTATACATTAATTTTTAACTTCCATTTAGCTTTCTTCACAGAATTAAATGTGTTATATTTGAACTGGGCAGGAAAGTGTTTGGAGTATATTATAAATATTTATGTAAATTTGGTTGATTAAAAAAATTTCTAGTAAGAAACAAATGAAATGAACATTTGTTTCTTTACTTTTATGCATTCGCACTTTTTTGTATTGGGAAAATTGGATATTGTTGCATGGTCACTCTTGACACGGCATATATTTACGCCTTTAAATATTTGTGTGTACAGTATGATATTATTACTTAAGACTTGAGAACAAAATAACTGATCAAATGTATAAGGAGGGACGCTAAAAAGCAATGTGGTTTTTTTTTTTTAAATACAATTTCATTTCATATAAATGCCAGGAATAATCAATTTGTAGTCCAGAATGTAGGGAGAAGATAAGTGAGCTCAGCATTGTTGAGAACTTGCTGGTGATACTGCGTGAATATGATTTGCTTTCTAAAAGGTGAGACTTCGCTTGTAGAGTAATTGATTTTAAATTTATTTTGACTTTTTCGTTTAGAGACATGTTTATTTAGAGGAATCATTTAATGTGCCACTTTAATATACTCAAGGTAAAGTTCTGATGTGTGTATTTTGAATCAGATACCGATACAACAAAGTCTTTTCTAGTAGTTTTGTTCCAAGCTGTGCCCCCTCTTTTCACTGATGGCCTACAATGCAGTGCAAATAATTTGTTGTGTTACCATAAAGTGATAGCAGGTGCTTTGGAGTGGTAGCATGTCCTTTTTGCTCCTGGCAGACCTGAGTGATTAGATAGAAATCACAGCTCCTGGGATGCCCAATATAAACTAGTGAAAAAATTGCAATACAAATAGCTGTTGCAGTTTATGGCAGAGGTTGGGTCAGACCTTTTAGTTAGAAAATCATAAAGGTTCTTTCAGTTCTTTAGCTAAGACTGCAAGCCGAGCATAGAGTATCTGCGTTTCAGTAAGAAACCAAAAGACCCTCAAATTTGATAATACGTCACATATTTATCACACTTAAAACTATTTCTTAAATTTCATGCATAATTATTTGATGCATGTAAATTATAATACATATGACTAAAGATAAAGGAATTGAACATAGCAAAAGATTTTATTCAGTTTCTGAGTCTGAAATGCTTTAGATTATATGTAAAACAAAAGTTTGTTCTAAAATTGGAATTTGAGTGTAGACAGGAAATGGTTGAAGTTCAAAGCTATTTAAGAATAATCTTTAAATTAATATGTGAATTTGAATTGTTATGTTTCATCAAACACACATACAGTTTTATTTGCTTCAACTGGAAATGGAAATCTCGAACCCTATTTCTGTGCAAAGTTCACCGTAATTGGGGTGAAGTTAATGAAAATCTTGTATAATATTTTGAAATGATATATCCAATCCCCTTTCTAAACCTAGTATTCAAAACATACTAGAGAAGAATCACAAATATTTGTGGAATTATTCCAATTCCATAGATAGACTTTGCAAGTTAATGCCATCAGTGCTCCCAGTAGCATTAATGCCATTAAGAAGGTGGTACCTCAGATGACTGCAGTCCACCTGGCCACCTCCCTTCCTGACTGTGTATGCTTGGCTGCCTATGCTGATAGCCAAACTCAGAGTAAATATAATTTTATCACTTCTGAAAGTTGACCTTTTTATTTTTTTTTACAGTGTTTTTGCAGTTTACAGTGACTTTAAGCAGTTTTTCTTAACTCCTTTGCTTTTCATGATTGTTATTATGGGAGGTCTCTGTTCACATTTGCTGTGGTTTTTTTCCCCCTTTGCTAACTGACAATATGAAGTAATGATTGAGTTATTGTTAAAAGTGCTTGATGATTTCTTTTTTTTAGGCTCACAGCAGAGTTGTTACGTCTCCTCTGTGCAGAGTCACAGGTCAAAGAGCAAATAAGAATGTATGAGGGAGTTCCAGTCTTGCTCAGTTTACTCCATTCTGATCATATAAAACTTCTATGGAGTATAGTTTGGATTCTGGTACAGGTTTGTGAGGATCCTGAGGCTAGTGTGGAAATTCGGATTTGGGGTGGAATCAAACAGCTCCTTCATATTTTACAGGGGTAGGTTTTCAGTCCTCAGCATTGTGGCAATTATATGAGACTGTTTCATATTTTATGATATATTTGACCAAGTGCTGTTTTATCAAGTAGCTTCTTTGTGTTGTTCAGCTGTATGTGATGTCTGCAGAAATTATGAGGCTATTTATATCATAATGATTAATTAGTGTTTTTTTTTTTTAGCTATGCGGATTTCATTGTTATCTAAAATGGTTTTAATATTTTCACTGTATAAAGTAAGCAATGAATAATGATAAATGTCATTACTGCCTAATTAGATTTCCTATTAATCAGACACGTATTTCATGAGCTAGAATAGTGAATATAATTGATGAATGTGGTAAAGGAATTTTATGTTTAGAGGCTTGTTTGCTTTTTCAAAGTGTATTAGCTATTTTAGTGGAAAACCTCTGAATCTTTAGAACTTCAGAAATAGTTAAGGAAGATATGTTAAGCCTTTTTTTTTACACTGCAATTTGTTTTGATTTTTTTCTTTCAGGGACAAAAATCTTGTTTCTGATCGCTCTTCAGTTGGAAGTCTATCCAGTGCTAATGCAGCAGGGAGAATCCAATATTTTCATTTGTCAAATGATTTGAGTCCTGATGAGATGCAAGAAAATACTTTCTCCCTTCAAGCAGGTAGGTTTATATGGCCTAATCCTCTTTCATGTGTGTACTTACACTTGCACAAAGGTATTATAAATATTTCAAATTTGAAATTGTAAAACTTGATACCTGCTTTGGGGAGCAGGAGCACCAAGTCATCTGTGTTTATTTCCAACTGTGGAATACCAGTACATGTTTTCAAAAAGCACACTTTTTCTAGAAAGAAGTAAAGGATAAAGTACTAAGTACATAAAGATTTATTTCACCTGTAAAAATATCTGAAACATATATATATATATATATATATTCAATTTTGTAGCCTGAGATCATTTTTATTTCATCATATTTTTGCCTCTGTTTAAACTTACTATGTGTCATGGTGCAAAACCAGCCAGTAACTCAGCACCATGAAGCTGCTCACTCACTCCCTCCTTCTGCCTCCCTGGGCAGGATAAAAAGAATAAAAAAGAATGTAAAACCCAGCCCGATCCAAGTAGTGATCTGCCCTTCTGGGTAACTCCCCCCAGTTTATATACTGGGCATGACGTGCTGTGGTATGGAATACCCCTTTGGGGTTTGGGTCAGGTGTCCTGTCTCTGCTTCTTCCTGGCTTCTTGTGCCCCTCCTCACTGGCAGAGCATGAGAGACTGAAAAGTCCTTGACTGGGTAAGTGCTACTGAGCAACAACTAGAACATCGGTGTGTTAAGGAGGGGGGGAGTGACTGTGCAGCTGGATGGGCATTTGGCCGTTAGCTAATGTTAACCCACCATACTATCTGAATGTCTGTTTGAATCTGGCCCTAAATGTTACATCTGAATTTTTATTCTAGCCTGTTGTGCAGCAATTACTGAACTGGTGCTCAATGAGACTAACTCTTACCAGGTTGTACAGGTAAGAAGATGTTATTCAATAAAGTAAAGCATTAGAGCTTATAATTTGACTTAATTGTATTAAGTTGTCACCATAATTTAATTAACAAAATGCATTTGAAAGGTATGGGAAAATATGACATTCTATAACTTCAGTATCTCTGTTTCTTTATACATTTGCACACAGAGACATAGACAGAAGATACCAACATATGTATCTAGTTGTCTGGAAGAAAGACAGCCTTGTTCAGGCAAGGTTAATTTTGGCATCTCTTGCCATATTCAAAATAGGATACTAAATAAGAGTAATAAGGGAATTAACTGAGAGATAAAAATTCTGAATTTCAGGAAGTTTATTAAAACAAAGTCTGTGGAGCTTATATTGGCATGTTGTTGTTTCACAATTTGTGTTTTCTTCAGAGTATTTATTTCTGGCATAACTTCTGCACTCTATCCCCAGGGTTGTGTTTTTAAACCTCATTTAAAATGTAATATTTAAATCAGGTAGAACCTATGGTTCTGTAAACTGTTCTGAAAATCCTTGGTGTGTATTCCAGACATAGACAAAGACACAAATATATAGGACATTAATACCAGCTGATAGCTGTATCCAGCTCTCATACTTTAAATGTAAAGTTGGTGATCAAAGCCTTCAAGTTAGCTTATAACCCAGTTAGAGGTATTCCTAGGAGAATCGAGAGAACAAAAAGCTCTATATATGACCAGGAAAGAAGTTCATATATATCAAAACTGTTGGTTCAGAGGAAAGGAATGGAAGCAGGTCTGGGGAAAATAAAAGGAAGTATTTTCTGTATATCTTTAGCACTACAATTGCCAATAACCATACTCATTTAGACTTATTTAAACTGGGTAAGTTTTGAAAACAATATAACTCCTGGAGGACTTGGGAAGTAAAAGGCTGGTTTTAATACAGTTTTTCTGCATTGCTGTAGCAATCCTTTGAGCTTGTAATTTAGGTGTGCTATAGGATGTTGAGAACTTGTCAGTTGGTATTAGCTTCTGATTTATCTGAAGTAACACTTTTTTATTTGTGTGCTATGTATACATATTGACCTTTTTCTGTTTACAGGCGAATGGAATATATATAATAGCAAAGCTGATTTTACCAAAGAAAGAAAGAAATGCTGAAAATGCTAATTTATTACAGGTAGTTCCTTGTATCCAATTATCATTGCATATTGAAATCCCCAAACAGTCTCTGAGATTTTTTTTTTATTATTCTAAATTTATTTTAAAGTGCAGTAAAAAAAACAATCTTACTTAAAGGGTGGAAAAAATCCCAAGAAAACAAAACCTGGAATAACAAATGTATCTGCTTAAATAGTGACTCAGTTTCTGGTGCTGTGTTCTGATCTACTTTGTTTCTGGCACTTCATATAGTGTAAAGGAAAATGAGTATTTTTCTTGTGATAACCTTCCCACCACTTTTTCAGGCTGTACAGCGTCAGGATTTCTTTTTAGTGTCTTGATCTTCATTGAAAATCACTGTAGATTTGACACTATACTAATATCTGTTTCATTCTGAAGAATCTTGCTGTTGCTGTTAAATAAAATACATGAAAACATTGCATGAAGTAGAGCAAATTTAAATGTAGGATAAATAGAGAGCTAATGAGAGTGGTTTGGGGGTTTGCCTGTCAATACCTCCATAAATGTACTGGTTTGTGTCAACTTAGGCTAAAATTTATCAGTGGTAATTATCTGATAGCTCTTTTCCACCGCCTGTGAAATTATGTTGGTGTCTCTGAGCTATAGGAAAGTAGTGGTCTAGGGTTCAAGGATGAACACAACTGCTGCTGCTCCAGTTGCCCTTCTCTGGGCAAATGTGAGGTCCTTAGCACAAATGAATGCAGTCAGGTTCCTGTTTCTCCCCTGCTCTTTATTCAGGTGTAGCCCTACACTAACAGGGCTAAATAGCTACTCACCTATTTTATCAGGTAGACATACCTGGATTGCAAGGAAAGGCATTTCCACAAACAGAAAAATAACTCATTGTAGTGACATCTTTCTCTTTCCAGTTCTAGATTAGGGTTGGAGTGCAGATTCGGTGCAGCAGGTACCTTTCTTCTGCAGTGAGGTTTGATAGTGCATTTCAGTTAAATCAGCTTAAGGATGAGATGAATAAAAACCTCCTTAGAAGCTAAGTGAAACTAACATGGAGTCTAATAAACTGGAGCATATGCTCATTACAGTTGCCTCATGCAACTGCAAGGAGCTTAATTGTGCCTACCATGGTTTAGATTCCAACAGGATGTGTTGGAATTAAATCACAGAAGATAATAAGCAACTGCAGTTGTGTTAAATATTAAGCTGTGTGAATTAATAGTGGACTCAATGATCACATATGAAGACAAAATCTGTGTCAGGCAAACAATAAGAAATGTATTTTTTCACAAGAGCTTGTTCAGATTCTCACCCTGTTATCTGTATTGCCTTAATCATTGTTACTGCTGTGCAGTACAGCTGCAGCTACTGGAATACGCTTTTTTGAATTTCATAGGTATTTTTCTTAGAATTCTTGCAGTGCTGGTGTGGTTTCTCTACTGCTCCATTGTTTTGTGTTTTCAATGATTAAATTTTAGTTTCTTTCTGCTGTAATTCCTTAGTGATCTTAGTTCAGTATTTTAAGGGTAACTGTGGTATCAGTCATTTGTTCTGCATATGTACCATATATAAAAATCATTATGCCTTAACTGAAGCAAATTAACAAATGTTAATTATAAATCTAGTACACACACAGTACTAGAATGTTAATACCATATACAGAATGTTAATTATAAATCACATAGTACTAGTGTGAGAAAGATGAATATTAATCACTGTTTAAAATATCAATTTCATTATTAATTTATTATCATTTCCCTTCACTGATGGGTTTTCTACAGTAAGATCTATGTGTAGTCTCTAAAATGAAAGACTTTCAGGGTGGCAACTGTGGCCCAGATAGTCTGGTTTATTTTGTACAGCTAAGCCGTGGCTGTGATGCTCAGTGGAATGTCAGACATCATAACATCCCAGTCTTCTCTTGTGATGAGGGAGTATACTTTGGATTAAAAAGAAACGTTGCCTGTAAAAGAGACAGCTTCGTAGCAGCATTAACATACATTCCTTTTCTGTAAAATTTTAGGTATCCTGCTTCCTTCATCAGTAGCATTTGGCCTTTGTTTCCTTCATTTAATGCATTTTCTATATATTGAAAGATCTCTTATTTTTTTTTTTAACATGGGGATTAATTCTGCAGTTAGCACTAAGACACGATTGCCATTGCCTAAATAGGGGTTATCGCACTGGACTGCAGCAGTGTTTTAGTCACTGATGCAATAAAGTAATTCTGAATTATACTAGAGGCGTTTAGTATTTGCATTGTTTCAGGTATCAATACCTTATTTCACTTTGGCTTACTTTATACCATCATGTTTGTTTGGTCAGCCATACATGTGCCATACTATTGACTCTTGGTAAATGGGGTTAAAGATGAGTTGCATAAAAACATACTTACTTTACAAATAAAAAGAGATGATTAAGGCTTAAATCTTCCTCAGCCTGTTCTATAGCTTTAGTCACCCACTTTCCCCCACCCCCCTTCCCGCCCTTTTTTTTCCCCCTGATAAATGGCTCTGCCTCCTTTTAAATTACAGGAAAAACTTAATACATTTTTACTCTCTTCATTATCAGGTTAGTATCATAATCTGTCTAGTCATTTAAGTACAAAGTTTACTACCATGGGAAGTCAAGGGGAATCCTTGACTTTTATTCAGTGGCTTTTCCAATTATGTATAAATTTCTCATTAATTGAAATATTTTCCTGCCGTAGTGTTACGCTTTCAGAGCCCTGAGATTTCTCTTCAGTATGGAAAGAAATCGGCATATCTTTAAAAGGTATGTTAACAAAATGTTTTGTGAAGCTCCTTTTTAAGATAGTTGTTCAAAAGTTGTAAATCCAATCAGAAAGACAAGTTTTTTAAATGTTATGTATTTTCAACAAGAAGAAATAGTAGAAATAGGTCAAATTCTGTCCTTCCCAGAGTTTCAATTCACCATTCCTGCACTGTATCAGTGAGAGCTACAAGATACAGATGCTCAGTGAGGGGCTTCTATTGTATGCATGCCCGAGAACCTAGCTCTTCAGGGGTTCCTATGCATTACAAGAAGGAACTCAGAAAAACTGACAGCAAGCATAATATAATATAAAAGAAGAAAAAAAAAACCACAAACCACAAAAATGACTGGAAATTTGGGAGGTGGATTGACTTTAAAAAGGCTTACATTTGTTTGGACAACTGGTATATAAATATCCAAACAATGGAGGCTGAAGTCTGACTTTTGATAGGTCCTTTAACTTCTGTGTACGTAATCATAGAATCACAAAATGTTTTGGTTTGGAAGGGCAGAGACACCTTCCACTGCACCTGGTTGCTCTGCATAGGTATGTATAACCTTCAAAGTTTTTTTCCTTAGGATACCATCATTCCTATGTAATGATAGAGGATTAATATCTGAATAGATCAGTAAAAATTAAGTGCATTATTTAGCATGTTCTAAAGTAAGTTGAAATAATAAACACTGAAAAGTCTATGCTATATATTAATAGCCACTATACACTGTTTCTAAAGTAAATTAAAATGTAAACCTTTGTAGACTTTTCCCTACTGACTTGTTTGAAATCTTCATTGATATTGGACATTATGTGCGTGATATCAGTGCTTATGAAGAGTTGGTATCAAAGCTAAATTTATTAAAGGTAAGTAAGAACCTTTGTAAAAAGCTATAGTCTTTGCACTTTCTTATCACAAGAAAGGCATGACATTCTTCTATTTATTTACTTGTAATTTAATTTATAACCAGGAAGATGAATTCAAGCAAATTGCTGAAAGTATTGAGAGCATGAATCAGAATAAGGCACCTACAAAACACATAGGCAATTATGCAATTTTAGAGCACCTTGGCCGTGGAGCTTTTGGAAGTGTATATAAGGTAAACTTATCTTTTGGTATTTACAGGTTTGGGGGGAGGAGTGGGTCTAATACTTCTTTTAGGCAATACTGTTGTTCTGGTTTCAGCTGGGCTAGAGTTAATTTTCTTTCCAGAAGCTGGTGCAGAGTTTTGGCTTTAGTCTGGGACCAATGCTGATAACACACCGATGTTTTAGTTGTTGCCCAGTAGCACTTACCCCAATCAAGGAATTTTCAGTCTCTCATGCTCTGCCAGTGAGGAGGAGCACAAGAAGCCATGAGGAAGCAGAGACAGGACACCTGACCCAAACTAGCCAAAGGGGTATTCCATACCGTAGCACGTCATGCGCAGTATATAAACTGGGGAGAGTTACCCGAAAGGAACCGCCCACTTCTCGGGTTGGGCTGGGTATGTCAGCAGGTGGTGAGAAATTGTTTCATGCATCACTGCTGTTTACTTCCTTTTTCTTCTCCTTTCTCCTCTCTGTTTTATGTTCTCTCTCCTTGATATTTCTCTTATCATTATTATTATTAATAGTATTATGTTCGACCTTAGTTACTGGACTGTTCTTATCTCAACCTATGGGGTTTACACTCTTTCTATTCCCCTTCCCATCCTGGCTGGAGGGGAGAAGTGGGGGGTGAGCAAATGGCTGTTTGGTGCTTTGTTACTGGCTGGGCTTAAGCCATGACAGCCATCCTCTGAATTTCAGTAGGGGAATGCAGATGCAAAGATGACTTTGTGGATCTGCTGTTAGTATTTGCTGTAATTTTGTTTGCCCCTTCTTGTATTTGTAAGATTGACCAGTGTATCTCTTAGGTTTCTTACTTTCACTTTCTCTTAATTTCTTTCTACAAACAGAATTTCTGTCTATTGCAGAGGCTAAATAATCTGTGTAAAAATTCAAGTATGTTTTATCTGAAGGGCAATACTGGCCACAGATAATGTTACCTCAAACACAAAGTGTACTGCTTACCTGTACTGTAGGACTCAGTTCATATGGCCAATCACATCATGTACAGAAAAAGCTAGGATTGTAACTTTTGTGAGTCAGGTTTGGACTCTAATAACTGATCTGGCAGCCATAATAATATCCTTTCTATCCCCGCCCTATATTAACTTTACAAGGGTTTTGATTTTTTCACAGGTTAGAAAGCATAATGGACAAAATCTCCTGGCAATGAAAGAAGTCAATTTACACAATCCAGCATTTGGAAAGGACAAAAAAACCAGAGACAGCAGTGTAAAGAACATTGTCTCTGAATTAACCATCATCAAAGAGCAGGTATGTCTCATGACCTCTAGTTTCATTTGTGAGCATTCTGTTGTTAGCTTTATTAACTGTGAATTCTTATATGAAAAGCTGCCTGGCAGAAAAGACCCTGGGGGTGTTGTCTGACCATTGGCTGACCCAGCTTGTGCCCAGGCAGCCAAGGCAGCCAGGAGCATCCTGGTCTGTATCAGCAATAGTGTGGCAGCAGAGCCAGGGCAGTGATCATCCCCCTGTACTGGGCGCTGGTGAGGCCGCACCTCAAATCCTGTGTTTGGTTCTGGGCCTCTCACTACAAGAGGGACATTGAGGTGCAGAGCAGGTCCAGAGAAGGCCAATGGAGCTGGTGAAGGGCCTGGAGCATGAGTTTGATGAGGAACGCTGAGGCAACTACTGGTGTTTAATCTGGAGAAAGGAAGGCTCAGGGGAGACTGTTTTGCGCCCTACAACTGCCTGTGAGGTGGGCATTGGTCTCTTCTCCCAAGTAAGAAGCAACAGGACAAGAGGTAACAGCCTCAAGTTGTGCCAGGAAGGGCTCAGGCTGGATATTAGGAAATATTTCTTCACCAAAGGGGTTGTCAAGCACTTGAACAGACTGCCCAAGAAAGTTGAGTCACCATCCCTAGAGATACTTAAAAGACCTGTAGGTGTGGTGCTCAACACATGATTTAGTGGGACTTGTCAGTGCTAGGTTAATGGTTGGACTTGATAATCTTAAAAGGTCTTTTCCAACATAGTTGATTCTATGATTCTATATTGCAGTGCTTCCAGCTGCTGTTACTATTTTTGTCTGACCACTACACTATTATCATAGAATCATAGAATAGTTGGGGTTGGAAAGGACCTTAAGATTATCAAGTTCCAACCCCCCTGCCATGGGCAGGGACACCTCACACTAAACCATATCACCCAAGGCCTCGTCCAACCTAGCCTTGAACACCGCCAGGGATGGAGGATTCACAACCTCCCTGGGCAACCCATTCCAGTGCCTCAGCACCCTTACAGGAAAGAATTTCCTCCTTATATCCAATCTAAACTTCCTCTGTTTAAGTTTTAACCCATTACCCCTTGTCCTATCACTACAGTCCCTAATGAAGAGTCCCTCCCCAGCATCCCTATATGCCCCCTTCAGATACTGGAAGGCTGCTATGAGGTGTCCACGCAGCCTTCTCTTCTCCAGGCTCAACAGCCCCAACTTTCTCAGCCTGTCTTCATAGGGGAGCTGCTCCAGTCCCCTGATCGTCCTCGTGGCCCTCCTCTGGACTTGTTCCAACAGTTCCATGTCCTTTTTATGTTGAGGACACCAGAACTGCATACAATACTCCAAGTGAGGTCTCACAAGAGCAGAGTAGAGGGGCAGGATCACCTCCTTGGACCTGCTGGTCACACTCCTTTTGATGCAGCCCAGCATACGGTTGGCTTCCTGGGCTGCAAGCACACACTGAAGCTGGCTCATGTTCATTTTCTCATCAACCAACCCCCCCAAGTCCTTCTCCACAGGGCTGCTCTGAATCTCATCTCTGCCCAGCCTGTAGCTGTGCCTGGGATTGCTCCGACCCAGGTGTAGGACCTTGCACTTGGCATGGTTAAACTTCATGAGGTTGGCATCAGCCCACCTCACAAGTGTGTCAAGGTCCCTCTGGATGGCATTCCTTCCCTCCAGCGTATCAACCGAACCACACAGCTTGGTGTCATTGGCAAACTTGCTGAGGGCGCACTCAATCCCACTGTCCATGGCAGCGATGAAGATGTTGAACAAGACCAGTCCCAACACCGATCCCTGAGGGACACCACTCGTTACTGGTCTCCAGCTGGACATTGAGCCATTGACCACAACTCTTTGTGTGCTGCCATCCAGCCAGTTGTTTGTCCCCCTTTTACCTGAATGCTGTCACTTTGAAAACCTTTTTACTGTAGCATTAGCAGCAGAGCAGATGCCTGTTAGTAAAGATTCTTACTTCCTTTTTTGGTGGTATTTGAACTTTTCAGGGATTCTTTAAATTAAGGTCGTGATAGAAAACTGATGAGTCTTTGTTCCATTTAATGAATCCTGGGGCTTAAAATACGAGAAGGTGGTATTTTTTGTAATTGAAAATTAAGACCCCAGAGTGATCATTAGTGTTCTTAGGCTAAGAAAACCAATACTTTGATACAGGTGTAATTGTAAACTCAAACTTCATTTGCTCTTTCAATTATTAAGGGAAGAGTAGACAGGAATCATGCTGTCTTTTCCTCCTGGTTGTTCTTGTAATGTGCAACACTTCTCTGTTTGGGAAAATTAATGAAGGTCTACTGCACTGCAGTACATAGAAAAGTTTCTGGAATCCTTCATTCCAGTATGCAGCTAACCATTATGAATACTGTGCCATCAGTTTAACCATTCTAAACATCTACATTTTTTTCCTCATTGTAGCTTTATCATCCAAATGTTGTGCGGTACTATAGAACCTTCTTGGAAAGTAAGTATAAATGCTGAGAATTACCACAGTAAACATAATGAAGAAATAGAAATAGAAAATGAAAACACAACTTGAAAGGAATGTGTCAAATTTCAGCAATAAATGATAAGACTTTCTTCAAGGACTGCTACAGTTCAGACAGGCTTATATTCCTTTAAAACTGAAAAAGTGATGAGATATTACATTTGTTTATCAGTAAAACTAGGCACAATATAAACATGTAGAAAGCATCATTCTCATTTGATAAGATCCAAAATTTACAACTGGACTGCTGTGTAGGGAGAAAAGCTATAGTGACTAATTGAATGATATAGATTGCTCAGCCATATTGTTTAAATTTTCTTTAAAGTGTTAGCTACTTACACATGCCCACTGAGTGATTTTCCTGGAGTGAATTCCTTATATTTACTGTGTTATAAACTGAGGGAAAAAAAAGAATAACAAGGAATAGAACAGTGATTAAATGTATTTGCACAAGTTCTTTTTTAAAAGTAAAAACAGCTTTTAAAATATGTTTAAACCTCAAATATTCTATTGTCAAATGCCTTCTCTATAAATGTAATCTATTAATTCATTTTCTTTTATGTAGATGACAAGTTGTACATAGTCATGGAGCTCATAGAGGGAGTGCCATTGGGAGAGCATTTTCACTCTTTGAAAGAAAAGCAACAACACTTTACAGAAGAAAGAATATGGCATGTATTTATCCAAGTAAGGGCCTTCATTCTTTTTGTTATCAGGACTTCCTTGCATGAAATTAGTAGCACCATTTATATTTGTTAGGCTAATAACTGACAAAGTAATGTTTATTGTATCAGGCACTAATATCAGATTTTAATTTAATTTAATGTGCCTTTATCTAGGTTGTAGTTAAGAATATTAATGAGGCCCTTTCTGTTTGTTTTTAAGCTTTGTCTAGCTCTTCATTATTTGCATAAAGAGAAAAGGATTGTTCATCGAGATCTCACTCCAAACAATGTCATGCTGGGAGATGAAGACAAAGTTACAATTAGTAAGTAGAGCTATTTACTTAGAGAATTTCCCGTGATGTACGTGAGTAGAATTTCTTCACTGAAATTCTCGAGGTTTTCAGATTTCCAGGCATTGGTCACCATACTTGGAAGCCAGTAAATTATTGCATTATTATACTGTTGTGTAATTGCTAATGAAAATTTTGTGACCATTGTCACCAGGTGTCATCAGCCACAACTATATTTATTACAGACATGTGAGTCAAATATGACAGAGATGATTTAGCCCTGAAAAAAATAGACTATATTTATGCTTCAAGGCCTGTTTTTATTTAAATCAGCAAGAAAATCTAAATAATCAACTTCAGATAGTAAGTGCTAGTGAACATACTAAAATATAACAACCATCTGTTCTATTCTAGTTGTACCATGAAATTGTTTAATATCCATCAGTTGTTCCCAGTGATCAGCTGCAATGAGGTGCTATTTGTCTAAGCTTGTGGCAGTGAATATTCTTGATGTATGCTTCTAGAATCTCCACAGTGGGGAGGAAGGACCCTAGGCAGATCTCAGGGTAGGCTTTGAAAGCAGTATATGTGTGAACAGTACAAAATATGGCAAAGTTTTACTCTTTGAGTGAAACAATGCAACCTGGTACACACAGCAAGCCCTACAGGCAATTCAGATACTGTAGTTTTTAAAGTTCTCAAAGCACTACTGAATGCTTTCTTACTGCTCATGACACAGAACTAAATAAACAATTTGAATACTGCTGAATTGTTGTGAGAAGTCTTTATGCAGAAATCAATCTCTATTCTTTAAAAATAACAGGGAAGTATAGTCATACTCACACACCCAACCAAAAAAGCCATTTGGCTAAAATAGGCAAATACATTTAGCAACTGTTGTCTTACTGTAAGTATTTATAGCTGATGATACATATACAAATTCATTTGTTATTAAATCGTACGTGCTAAAAAACTCTGATTCTTAGTAATGGCACAGTTTTGAAAGAAGGTCATTTAATGGAGCACTTGTCCCTGAGTAATATTCAGGATATTATTTAAAGGCAAATATCAAATTTTGCATGTATATCATATTTTGTATCAACAAACTGCCACTGAGGGGCGCTCTTGTTCTGTTTTAACACCTTAACGTCGCTGGTCCGGTCTCTTGTGTAAAGACCTGTAAATGTACTTTCAAATGTAAGCTCAAAATAGCCAATGAAAAGCATTTATATTTCTGTCAAAGATTTACAGAAGTTGAGGAAACTGGAGGAACTGAAGCTTATTTTGATAATGTTAACAGTGACAGATTTAAAACTGTTGCAATATTTTAAAAAAACCCAGTTTATTTAGTACTTTATTTAGTACCAGCATACATTGAATTTTCAGTGGGAGCTTAAGACCTTTTATCTATTACTTCCAAATTTTATAGAACCTTGTTGCTTTACAACCTCAATGAAATTAAGAATAGTTTGCTTTCTTTCCAGTGATAGTAATTACATACTCTATTGGTGCATGCTGTGGTATTATGCCTAACTCATGTATGACAGAGTCTAGAATATTTGCAGTCTTGATAATTATATTCCTCAGTTTTCGAGAATTTCAGATGGTTCTAGATGAAAGTTAATATAAAATGTCAGATAATGCTGGAAGCATATGCTCAAATATTGAGAAATCTTAAGTCTGCCTCTGCAGTGAGTTTAGCCTATCAGCCTTTATAAAAGGAGAAGGTCTGCTCTAAAATATACTCAGAACTGTAGTTCTGTGTTTGCAAGCTGCACAGTCATTCTAAAGAGAGACCAACTTCAATGTTCTGGTCTTTCAGTTTCAGTACTGTCCAAAACTCGTCTTGATCTAATTGGAGTAATAGGACTACCTATGGAATAGTGTTGTGTGGCTATGTAATTAAAATATGGCCTCTGATGGTCTGAATTATTTTGCTTTATAACAGAAGCTTGTATATCTTGTAATACTGCTCTTCTTTTTCCTTTCTTCAAGCAGTGCTTCTGGAAATGGTAACTCTTGTTAATCTTTTGCTATGAAAATCTGCAGGCTGAACAATATAACAAAGGCAGCTTATTGCTCTGTAACATACATTCTTCAAATGTTTTATTTAGAGAGGTGCCTTAGTTTTAGACTCTCATTGTAGACTTTGATTTAAAAAATAAAGTGAGCAGTAGACTGGAGCAAAGTGCTTCTATAGGTTAAGACTCATTCTGTTCTGTGTATGGCTTTGCAGCAGCCCCAAAAATGAACTGCTTTAACAAATTTCTGGCACTCACACTCTCCCTGTGTATGTAAGAACTGGCCACTCACATTCCAAATCCCATGAAGACCTCATACATTTTCTGAGTTTATATTGGTTGAAAAGGAAAGGAGTGCACAGTGTAGGAGGCATTGCCACCTTGCTGTCAGCACAGAAAAAAATAAACCTGCTGAAGGATTATGGTTATTTGTTCTGAATTCATGGAGAGATGTTCTACACATGGCTTTTGTAGAAAATCCCAGCAGAACTTGGTAGGCAGGGACCTATGGTGAAAGGTAGCTGAAAACGAGAATCCATACAGGCAAAAAAACCTGCAACTGGCTTGGCACAATGTAAGATTAAGCTATGAGGGGCCTTTTCTAGTGGTGGTCTCTGATATAATCTTTATAGGTTTGACTGAAGAAAGAATATATGAGGTAATAGTGGGAAGAATTTTTGTATCTGTATAGTCACAATATTATTTTCTTTTTCTTATGTATTGTGTGTGATCAGACACTATCCTTATCCAGGTTTTCGATTATGGTTTTGTTTTTAAACGTAGGCAAGACAAAAGTGAAAGTCCTAAGCCCAGCGGGTACTTTGTTCTACTGTGAAGATCATATAAATTCCTTTGCATTTCCCATGACATCTTTTAAACCTGCCAATTACATGTGAATTATCCCAGTCTTTTTCAGGCTCTTTTAAGCCGTGTGTTGTTGCAACTGGAAACAGACATTTACAATCTGATCCTAGCCAAGCCAGTGGTGATACAAGATCTCTTTCTAACTGCAGAGAACTTTAGGCATGCTGTTGTTATGTGTTCTCTGGAACCCTACTCACCTGTTCTGTTTCATCTCTGACATAAATTTGATAGGAAGGGGGGCATCACAACCACCTCTTATGTTGGTACAGCATTTAATTGTAATTAGTTGAGCAACAAAAGCTGTGAAAACAGAAATATTAAATCACCTAACCTGCAATTTTGTAAAACTTGTCATTCTAAATTGGTAGAAACATGTTACAAAACCGTACATCTCTGGTCAGGATGAATGTCTGATTTATCATTTCTGACACACGCAAACACACAAAAATAGTGTTTTAGGCACAGCCTAAAGGAAAGTTGTTTTGTTTAGGGTTTCAGAGATTCATTGAATCCATACTATCTGTGGCTGTCAGTTTAATCTGACCAGCCTTTTCATAGTAGACACTGAGAAGTTACAGTTTTCTGAACTGGAAATGCACATGTACTTTCATCATAGCTGTATCTTACTGCAGATAAATTTTGTTTTTAGTACAGCATATTTCTGTCTAGAGCTCCATAGCTGCGTCTTTTTGTCAGACAGAACAGAAGAGTGTAGATAACCACTTTTCTTCAGTGTCATCTAGCTGCAGCAAAGTTTAAATCTTTGGGGCCACCTTTCAGCTCTGATATCAAGGAGAACTGTGAAGGGTTCCATACGCTCTTTTGGATGGCTTGCTCTGCTTAATATTTATAATTGTAATGATACAACACTAGCAAAGAGGATATGTATGGAATTGAAACCCAGGATTGTGTAGAAGTGGAATAATAATTTTGAGAAAACTCAGCTCTCTCATATTCTTCTAATCATAGCCAGCAGGCATGAAGTGTCAGAATGGTGAAGTGAATGAGACTTGGAAAGTTCAAATAGCTGCTGGGTGCTTGAAGAAAGCTACCTGTTAACTTTGTAATTGAGAATACTTGTTTGCTGGGTGCACTTTTCAAAAGACCTATTGGCTCTTGATTCTGTGCCATGCCCAAAGCAGCAGTGGCCATGAGGTAAAGTTTAACTAGTGCCTATTGTGTGTTAGTCACTAATCTCCTGAGTCACTTGGATCAGTGTTATTTTTTTTTTTTTACAGATTATATGGCTCATCTAACTGTTCTTCATTATGATAACTGCTATATTTTATAATAAGATTCAAGAAAATGCTTGTAGTACTTAATTTTCAAAGCTTCCGTAATAGGCTCAGTGGAATGTTCCACTTGTTTACATTCTGGACTCTATTGATGGATTAATAGCACAATTACATCTCTACAAATCTCAGTTCTAGATGTGGATCTAGTTCAGAAGCTGCTAGTTCTTAGTGCAGAAGTTACAAGCTTCACAAAACTGACAGATGGTAGACTGAATTTACAAAGCACTGATATTAGCACACAGAAAGGAGAATGGTAGAATAGCTAGATGGTGCATTTGCGAATGATAAGAAATTAATTCTGTTCCCATTCTATTAATGGAAAAGAAGAGGATAAGTATGTCCTACTGTTGATTAAATGGTAAATTATCTTGATCTTAGGATATGCTTTTATAGAAAAAAAAAGATTAAAGTTCCATGTTAATTTTTCAGATCACTGTTACTTAGTAAGTTGCTGACAAACTTTCTTGATTATGCTTGCAAACTTGTGGGAACGAAGCAAAATGATTTTGTCTTAGTATGAGCCTTTCAGGGTAAAAAGAGAATCTGTTCAGTTGGGACACCAAAAATCTGATCTGAGTAGGTCATGTGTGTGGTGAATTTGGTATTCCCCTCAGCCTCCTTTATTGCTTTGATTTTGGTGTTCATGTGCATATTTGATGTTAGGAAAAAATAATGGCGTTTTCAAACAGGGTTAAAGTATAAATTGAGGGAATGAGTGCACAAATATGAGATCAGTGCTGTTAAGATGCAGTACCTGGAAAATCTTTCTCTTGTTTTTACTGTAGAAGATCAACCTACTAGGTGAAATCTCTGGGAAATAAAATGGCAAATGAAAAAAACAGATTGTGTCAAA